GCCGCCGCCGCCTCCTCCTCCTGCAGGAGCTGGTTGAGGTCGGCGCCCATGCTGCGGCACATCCGGCCACTCAGCCGACTGCTGATGCGCCTGGCGAGCGTCGGATGCTGTCGCCGCAACGTGGCCGAGCAGTCGCTTGATTCGTGGGTGTCGTACAGATCACCTGGACGTCAAGACAATCATTTGCGACTCACAAAACAGAAATATTTGGCTTTCTGATGACATTTCAGGAGCTTGAGCACAGTCAACCTCATTTCTTTCACCCATTTGCGAATCCTGACCTGAGGAGTGGTGCCATGGAACTCCTCTGGGCACAGAGTGCTGCTCAAGATGCTCCGAGGAGCGATGGAATGGTGCCACGTGGGCATCAAATGCCCGCTTGTCGAGGAGATTGCCCGTCGAGTGATGCCAGGGTGCGCTGACCTTCAGTTCATCGTGACGCTTTGTCCCAGGGGGTCGCCGGAGGACCTGCTGAGTTTTGGAAGCCTCCACCGGACCACCTGATCTCAAAGCAGAGAGAGATCACGTGTGTGTATATCAAGTACACAGACATAAACACACACACACTGCACTTGAATAGATACAAATTAAAGACTGAAGTTGAGGTTTAAAATCAGAGAGATTAAAACTGTAGAACTGTACCCAAAGGGCAAAAATATTATGTTTGCGGAAAATGAATTAAGCAGAAAAATCGACCCGATTTTTTAAAAATTTTTTTATTATCCTTTTCAGGAGGTGACAAGAGATAAACATTTGAATGCCACGCGACCAAACCCTGAAAACGACGGGTGAGCCGTGATTGCGGTTACCTGAGCCCTAAGGCACTGTGATGTGATTTTTTTTTTTTTTTAAAAATCGTCCGCAAGTGGCAGTACAAGGCAAAAAAATGGCAGACTCCCGAGATGGATTTTAAAAAATGATTTTTTTTTTTTTTTTTGCTTACCTGCTAAGAAGTGCAGCTTGTCAGCGGTGCCATTCCACCCCGATCGTCCGGCTGCCCACTCGGTGCCGGAGAAGCCGGCGTCAGGCGCGTAGGAGAAGACGCTCCCGTGGCTGCTCGACAGCCACGTCCTTTCAATTGGACTCCAACCATGTCCGGGCTCCAGAACCACACCCGCAGGCTGCGAGTAGCGCCTCCCCTCGTCTTCAGCTCGATTTGGAGACAGTAAGGAGCGTTCTGCGGGGAGACTACGCCGGTCGGGGATCGATACAGGAACGACCACACCTGTACTCGGCTTTGGTCCTCTTAGCCGTGGCTCTGATTCCAATCGGGGGGCTTCTCCTTCTGCCACATTCTGGACAGAAATCATTGGAACGATCCTCTCTGTCGATGATGAGGCAACGGAATGGCTTATGGAGGATTCGGCGAGGGGTGCAAGGGGACCCATGAGAGGTCCGACTCCTGATGTGCTTAGGTTCATCTTGAGCCCTTCGTCGTCATCGCCGTCAGGGGCTTCTCCTTCTGCCACATTCTGGACAGAAATCATTGGAACGATCCTCTCTGTCGATGATGAGGCAACGGAATGGCTTATGGAGGATTCGGCGAGGGGTGCAAGGGGACCCCTGAGAGGTCTGACTCCTGATGTGCTTAAGTTCATCTTGAGCGCTTCGTCGTCATCGTCATCATCATCATCATCATCATGTGAGACTGCGGTTTTGTAGCTCTGCCTGTTTCTAGTGTGGCGTGGCGGAGCCTTTAGACCGGCATGAGGAAGACCCCCGTTTTTGGTTTTGGGGGGTCCGGGAGGTGAAACCTGCTGGGTGATTTGTCCGTGTCGGACTGAGGCTTGGGGATGGCCCTGTCCCACAGCGGCACCTTGGGGCCTCGGGTGTGTTTTGGCTGAGATTTGAGCTTGACTCACGGCCGGAGCTGCTTCAGCTCGAGGAACTTGCTTCGGTTCCAGCGTCAGGTTCAAATTCGTTTCGACGTTGTTGTTGTTGTTGGTGAGCAGGATACCAGCCGCCGGGAGGACTTTGTTCACGTCAGCGGATGCTGCCTCCTCTCGGGGCCGGGGTTTCTGACGAACTTTTTCTTTGCTCCAAGCCGGGTCCAAGGGCGGCGGTGGCTCAGCGGGACTCCGGGCGCGCGTCCCGGAAGCCGCGGTTCCGACGCCACTTGGGCCCGAACTTCTGAATTTCTTCCTGAGAACGACGTGCGACACGCCGTGCTCCTGCTTCACCGTGGCCACGGAGTTGACGAACTTTTTGAAGAGTTCGCGGTTACGAACCTGGTCCGCGTGATCCCGGAGGAAGCCCTTGAAGTGCAGGAGCAGGTCGGCATTTTTCACCGAGCCTCCTCTGCTCTGGAGAAAACGTAAAACCGAGTCTTGAGAGAAATCCGTGTCCATTTTGCTTGCGGTCTTTTTGCTCCTTGTTGGTTTCGAAGGTCGGGAGTTGGTCGAGTGTCAGAGGAATGAAGCCCCGCCCACTGCAGGTATTTAACCCCTTTCCAGCTGGCCGCATTCTTTGCAGGTGCACCGGAGGACGTAAACGCGATCATCACGATGCATTTTTAGCACAGATTCGATGCAGGTTTCGCCCATTTTAAAGTCAATATCGGTGACGAGATCCCAGGACTGCCAGTAGCCCGAGAAAGTGTATTTTTTTTAACCGCAGTTGCCAATTGAAAGACTTTGTTTCCCTCTAGCGAGCGACACTATAATACCGACAGTCCGAGTTTACCTTGTCAACGTGTAGGCCCGGTATTTTACAAAACGTTCGGGACGAAAACGTTTCACGTCGAACCGAAAGTGCACTCCTTTTGCACAACTTGCTGTTCTACGGTGCTTACTTTACTGTCTGTCTGTCGCTGCTCACCTGTCTACATTTGTTCATTTCGGAAAGGCCGACTTCTGATACAGTTTTCCTGGACTGCGGGGATCCTGCCTGTTTTCCAGCTCTCCGAGGAGCAACACACCCGATTCACACAATCAGGATCGTTCCGATGCCGCTTCAGAGCCGACATGCCTGATGTACTGATTGCTAGGAGTGAATCACCTTCCAAGAAATAGACAGTATCGCTGACGACATTTACAAAATATATTTATTTAGCAAAAACAAAATAAACGAACATCAGGAGCCATTTTCCAACCATCCAACTTTTTTTTTTTATAGGTCCAGCAAGTCAACCAGCAAAACCCATCTGGGATCATCTGTTGTGCCTACGAGGAGTAAATCAAAAAGTGAGCGTGATAGATTTTGTGGGTGATATTTGGAGAATAGGAAAGACTGACGATATGTAAAATGTGCTCTCTGAACTAGAAAAAGGTAACATTTGTGGCTGGAGGATAAAATAGTGTCCTTTAGACATTTCAGCACGAATAAAACGTGTACTCACGTTGTTAAAAACATTTTAAATATCTGCACTGCTGCCTCAATAAAGAACATGACACGTTTAACTTATTCTTGACATTCAATGGCATGAGGTTAACTGATTGGAGGAACCTCAAAAAAGTATGTTGTGTATTTGATGAGTAAGTGCATAGTCTCGAGTGGATAGCGTGAAAAAATATGGCCAATATTTCCATCTGCTGCTTAATTTTTTTTGACAAGAAAAAAAAAAAACCCTGATGTTTGCGGGGTTCTTTAAGAGCAGGAAAACACAACTGGAACCAAAAGGAGTTAATAGAATAATGAATCCAATTTTAAGCCCTGTTAGATCAAAAGGCATTCATTGGCATTGCTAGGTTAATTTAATGTCTAAATCTAAAATAATAACTTATGCTCAAATGTTGAAGACGGGCTTATTTTGTGATTTATATTAATATCAATAAGTTAGGGCCACCCAAAAATGTAAATATGACAAAACACGTTCAACATTGCATCCCGATCCAATCTTTGGACTCTTCCTTCTTTGACATCAACATGAAAATAAGTGTAATTTAATTTTAGTGGCCATTTTGTCCTATTTTGTCTTTGGCCACCAGCAAACATGGTTGTCTATTTGAGGAAACTCAAAGTTGCCTCCATGAGAGCAACGTTTGCACCGTTGCATTTTCCCTACCGTCTTCACATTATCACTAGTAAGAGTCTGTTCTTCTCTGTCATGTACTGAGTATTGTGTCTGAAGCAAGTTGAAAGAAAATTGCATATCAACATTTAAGGCTTTGCGGCCCTTGTCCTAACTCGGGGGGGGAAAAAACAAGACTCCATTATTCCAAGATCTCAAGGCGATGTGTCCAGTATTCCTACAACAGGTGGAAGCTTTTAAGCAATAGAAGAAAATGACCCTCATTAAAAACCGAACGATCTTGCATGTTTTCGATATTTTCTTGGGCCCTGCCAACCTGGTGGCTCTCTTTCCAGAGCAGGTAAGAACGGCAGCGGTTGGGCAAATTTCAAACTTAAGGCAGATGCGCTATTATTTCTCTTGTAAAAGTTTCAGTCGGGGCGCGAATAACACGAGGCACGTGACGGTGTTTGCGGCGTCAAGAGCGACGGACTGTGTGCATTGATTGAGTGAGACCAGGCCCACTCTTGCATGCTGTTAACTTCTCCAATCGGGAGTTCGGTTGTAGTTTCCACAGCGCTCCGTCTTGCCGTTTCACGACATCACAGCGACGTCACCGTGGTGGAGCGGGTCGAGTGGGCGTGGTCGGGAATCGGAGAGGAGGGAAGCAGCTGTGGGAAGGGAGAGGAGCAGGAGACGGGGCTCGGGGAGGAAGGCAAAGATCCTCTCGGCCAATCCGGAGGGAGGGTCTCCGCCAGCCTGGTCAGCTGCTCCTCGCGCTGGCGTATGAGGTCATCGAGGTTCCGTTGGCGAATCAGTAGGGAGGGTTTGGCGCTGACAAAGTGGCGGTAGTCTTGCAGCTGGGGTTCGCTGAGGTAGCCTCGCAAGACGGCGTGGACGACGCGCTGCCGTCGGTCCAGGTTTTGCTTCAGTTCCCAGGCATCCTCTGTTTGGCTGAGGAGCTGAGAGCGCTTGTGAACGAGGGAGTCCTGAGGAGACCAAAATTGCTGACGACATTCCATCCTATGAGGACTAAACGTCACCCGTACGAGGTTTTCTCACCCGCTCCTCAGAAAGGTCCTCCTTCGCGAGCTCTTTTCGTTGCAAAGCGAGCAGAGATTTGTCAATCCTCGACAGCCGACTGCACAGTGACAACAGCAGGTTGACGATTTTCTCAAGATCTCCTGTTAAAAAAAAAAACAAACAAAAGATTCATTCGACAGAAACTTTAGCCGAGCCCTCGGTTATTTGTGCTCCACCTATTTAGAAGGGATTGCTGTACCAATGAACATGCTGTACTTGTCCCTCTCATTTATCTTGCATAGTTTGTGCACCAGAGAGTCAACGCTGGCCCCGAGTGCCTGGTGACGCTTCTGCTCCTCGCCCAGAAGATCCTTCTCTCGGCGCATCGCCGCCACACTGCACCTCAGAGCCTCGCACAGCTCCGCCTAACAAAAGGGCCGATCAGAAAAAAGTTAACATTTCAGAGTACCGTAATAAGCAGAGCAATAATAGGCAATCCCATTTGATGTGTCCACTCTAGGTTTTTGAACCTTTCTTCCAATTGTATTCCATCGATATGGGCTTGACAGGAACAAAAAAATAAAATAAACATGATCGACTGTCCCAAAAATACCGTTTGAGGTGTGTACACCACTCAGATTTGTCGATATGAATAGCTCAAGACAAAAGATTCCTTTTGTGTGGAGTTTGCATGTTCTCCCATGTGGGTTTTCTGCGGGTACTCCACTTTCCTCCCACATTCCAAATACATGCATGGGAGGCCACTGCCGACCGCCTTAGGACGGCTGGCATAGGCTCAAGCATGCCTGCAACCCTCCTGAGAATAAGCGGATTAGAAAATGAATGGATGAATGGATAAATGTGGGGTCCGTTGGTTCCGGGTCCCTTAAATTGAAGTTCCACTGTATTTCGATTCTGCGTTGTGTTTTGTGTTTCTACCTTCCTGCTGTTGAGCTCCTTCTCCTCCATCTCAGTCCTTTGATCCACTTCTGCATTGACACCATTCTCACTCCTGGCAGGATGTAACACCCACATTTAATGGCCAAAAAAAAAAAGAGCAAAGTCTGAGGGTTAAACAAGATCCAAAGGAAAATAAATACCTGTCATTTAACGGGCTGCCCCTGGTTTCCCATGTGACTTTAGCACCCAGTCTGCTGTTGTGAAAGATCTCCTCCACAAGCTCGACAGGTGATCTACCCTCCGACGTTTCTAAGATGGGTGTCAGAGAGCGATCCTGCATGACCTGTGTTGAGCGGAAACAAGAATTATCAACAGCAATGAAAAAACTGGGTCAATGAGGTGCTGTTCTGTTCTGGGGCTGCATTGCTGCTTCTGCTGTCTTGAATCTTTGCAAAGCCAAGCATAATTAAGTTCTTCGAGAGAGAAATGTGCTGCCGAGAGTCAGAAAGCTTGATCTTCCAGGAGCTCTGATCTCAATCCGATTGAACATCGCTGGAAGGAGCTGAAACAAGCAGCCCTCAAACCTGAGACGACAGGAGAGCAGTTTGTCTCGCTGAAAGTTCCACAAATTGCCTCCAGAGGTTGCGCGGCAAAATATAAATATATAAAAATATGTCTCCATCTCTGATGTTGTGACAGGTGAGCGCAAAAAAAAAAAAAAAAAAAAAGATCAAGAAACAATAAAGCAACATCCTGTTTGGGACGGACCACCTGACTCCAGGTACCCACCAGCTGCCGTGCCAGCGTTTCCACTTGTAGCTCCTCCGCCGTCTTTTCCCTCTTGAGCAGGGGCTGGTACTCAAGGTTCAGCGTGTCGTCAAACTGGAGGCTGTCCATGCTGGACGAGGTGGACGTGAGGGTGGACGTTCGCGGCTTGGGGGAAGCCACAAAGCCGGGCGGGCTGGCGGAGAGTGGGAAGAGCGCACTCAACGGGTTTCATTTCGACATCGATATCAAACGGAATGGAAAAACCAACCTTGGCGCCGTCTGCAAAGAGCTTTTCTTGTCCAACTCAAGGAGAGGAGCGGGAGGCAGAGGGAAGGCTTCCGTCATGTTGGTCGCTTTGAGCGAAGGAGAAAGCGATGGAGGTGGAGGATTGAGAAGAAAGACCTCATCCAAGTCTTCACTAAATAGTCCCGCGGATGTTCCTGGTGTTTGTTGTTGGCCGACCGAGCTGCTGAGGCGACACTCTGACCTCTTGACCGAGGAAATGTTCTGAAGGGCGGACTGATGAGAGGAAGAGGAGGGACGCGACTCGACATTGCCGGCGTGTTTCTCGTCTGGTGTGGAAGCAAACTGGAAATGAGGCGGCGGCGACACCGGCTTGATGCTTGCTTCACAACGGCCTCCTTTTCTCTCCCAACTAAATGTCCTCTCTCTGTGAGCGCCATCGGTAGCGTCCTCTAATAGGCCGGCATCGCTCAAACTGTGCCGCGCGGGTTTGTCCGTCGCAAAGGTGTCAAGGTGGCCGTCTTTGGCGCCGCCGTGACTTTCGGCGATGCTGCTGTGGGGGGTGCTCGGGAAGGCGATGTCGTCCAGATTGGCTTGACCGGGAGCCTCGCCCGACTGCCGCGCCGTCCCCGCTCCATCCCGGGAAGCGGACGCGGAGGAGAGCGGGCAAGGCAGACCGACCGAGGCTGCGAGAGACGACATGCTATGGGCTCGCTGACGCTCACTGTTCCTCTGACGCTGTCTGTCCCTCAGTGGGACGGGGGAGTGGGAGAAGGCTGGATCGAGGAAGGAGACACAAATGATGGCGGTGTTCAAATCAAACTGGTCAAGCGAGTCATGTTTTTGTTTTTTTTTTTTTAAACTTCCTCTCCCTGTCCTGTATTTGCAACATTGGGTTGAAGTCGACGATTTTGCCGGCTTTCCACGTTGCGTCCGCAGTAGTAACATTTACACCGCCAAAAGAAGCAACCAGCGTTCTACCTTTGGCCACAACGCGATGTCACATATGAATAAATACGGCACCAAAAAACCTCAGTGTCTCCCTGTCCCACTGCTTTGCACGCCAGACGCCACTGTCGATTCTTTGCCACATTCCAAAGACTGTGATGGTCAGCGCCAATGGTTGTTTGTCAGTGTGTGCCCTGCGATTGGCCGGCAACCAGTTCAGGGTGTCCCCCGCCTACTGCCTGAAGTTAGCTGGGATGGGCTCTGGCATGCCCGCGACCCTCCTGAGGATCAGCGGATCGGAAAATGGATGGATGTGTACTCGTGCAAATCAGTCGGGACTTTTTTTTTTTTGTCATTCTGACGTTTGTACGTCAGCCCATAGTGCGAGTACCGTAGCTAACCTTGGAGCGCACAGATGCAAAGAGTGAGCACGCTCACCTCGAGAAGAAGTTCCGGCAGGCTGGAGGCGGTGAGGATTGTTGTGAGGAGAAGCGAGGCCCTCTAGTGGCTCCTTCTCTCCAGCGCTGAGAGACGTGACACAGGAAATTGTCAAGAGACGGACGGTACAACGGAGCAAACGCTTTTGACTTTTCTGGACTGTGTGCTTTTTTTAAAGGCGTAAGTGCATTATTGTGCCATCCTACTTGCATCTGTCTGATTTCATGCACATTCACGAGACGTTGTTGCCATGTGTGCCCCTGTCAAGTTTCGAGCCTTCTCTCATTTAGTGCAAAGTCAATTTGTTCTTTGGATAAAGTTTTCCCACCATCATTCAAAATTGTCCTTTCTTTTTTTTTTTTTCCAAGATTCCCTTGCGTAAGGAGCAGTACATTCACGAGCTTGCTATTGCAATATATCAAAAAGATTTGTGCAAGCATCCACACACACACACCCACACACACACAGAATTCCTAAAGTGACCCTTGCCCCTCACATTTGGAGACTAAACATATTCGATGGCTTTGGCTTCATAAATCCCAGTGCGCTGAAGTTGTTTGTTTTTTCAGTGTCGGTGCCAGGGAGTTTTCTCTTCTTCCTTCAAACACATCGTCCTCATCCCTGAACCCCTTCGTGCTCTTCTTAACTCCTTGCTTCCATCGTATTCTCTTCGTAGCTCTGATTCATGTTTTTTTTTTCAATCATTGATGTTTCTCCCTCTCCTTCTATAATTTCCAATCCATAATCTCTCATGTTCTTCCCGTTCCAACGGATCTGCATCATGTTTTCCTCCCTGATGTTTCCCTACGGGCACGTCTTTCTGCCCTTCTACTTTCTGTTGCCCGCTCAGACACTTTGACTGGCTTCTTTCAGATGTCCAGTCAATTTTCTTTTTACCCAAGCCTCACTTGTTTCAGTATATTCAAAAATAAATCAAAAATAGAGCACACATTCTCTGATACACACGCACACAAAAATCATGTCAATTCTCTCTAAAAAAAAAAAAAATTTTTTTTTAAGTGCAACCACTTTTGTAAACCAAGACTCCTTCCCTGATCACTATTCTGTTCACTGGCATTCTGTAAAATTTCCCCCCCTCAAAAATAAACTCGATGAAGCGGGAGATGAAATCGGATGAATCAGCAAAATGTAACCGAACAAAATAAATAAGATGGAGGCAGAGACAAAGCCAGTGAAAAAAGGGAAGCGAGCAGCCTGACGATGAAGTATGAGGATGTGGATGTGTTTGCGGTACCTTTCCTCAGTCTGAGCGCAGCGGCGCTCCGGCTCGCACACAAAGGCATCAAACATCTTCACTTGATCTGACGCGTAGTCCTGAAACACACACGGCAGTCCGCTCGATTTGTTTGTTGTTTGGAAGATGCAGCCAAGGGGCACCCGCTTCAAACTGCAGTCCAAGCACATGCATGTCAACTTGAGTGACAAATGATGACTAAGAAATGCAAGAATATTACACGAGAGTATCAAGAAATGTCCAAAATATTTCCTGACGTGGAAACAGGGTTCCGACATCCATGCACTGAGATGGAAAATGTTTGATGCAAATTGGTGTCAATAGCAATGTCAGTATAATGTTGTTTCCTTTATTTACCAGGAGAGAAAATGTCCGCAGGGAAACTTCAAGTTAAAAGAGCGTCTCCGTGTGTCTGCCTCAAATGTTAAGTTGTTTACGCGACACTGATCCCGCTGATAAGGTACGCAGATAAAAGAGAAGTTCGTCTTTTGCTGCCTTCCATTAAGGACTCTGCGGATGTCATATGTATACGTGGCTGTTTGTGTTTTATCTTTCCTATCAAACACATCAAACGGCGCCCAAGCCAGCATCCCCGGCAGCTCTCCGGCTGGCGGCACCATACAGGAAATGACGAGGATTCTGGGTATTTCCTGTGCGGCTCCGAACAAAATGTCCCCGAAGCCAAATGTGCGTCGGAACCTTTTTGCACGAAAAACAAAGCACTTCAATGTTTCATCGTTCCATCAGTTTAAAGTGTTGATGTTGTGACCGATGAAATGTTGAAGGAACCGACGAGCATCTGTTCGAGGACGAAGAGGCGGCAGTGCACGTGTGGATTACATGTTGCAAAATTGCAGACAGGTCGAATTGGCATCTTGATGGAGGAGACAGAAACAGACAGAGCACTTTTGTACTCGCCTGCTCATCTTCCTCATGTTTATGAACGTGTCTGCTCTTTTGCATTTGTGTCCATTACCTGCAACGTTTTGTCATTTTGAATGGTAAAAATGGGATTTCCTCCTTCCTCGCGACATTGACATCACAGCCCGCGTCATTTGGAGCGCCAAGCGCGTCGGTGCATATTACCTGACGGAGTATGTCCAGAGTCGGGGATGAGCGGGATCGAGAGTGGCTTGGAATCCTTTCCTCTGACCGCTCCAAAAGGTCTTCAACGGAGGCGGATTTGCCCGAGCCCAGCACGGACCCGACCCCGGCCAAAGACCCGCTCGCCTGCTTGGGGCCGAGGCGCTGCTTCTGGTGGGGGCTCGCTGCCTGTTGCAAATCTTTTGACCCGATGGCACTCGGTTTATCGGAGCCTGCCTCTCGGGCGAAATTATGCGGGAGGTGGGCGATGGAGGTGCGGCGCGCAGGCGGCGAGTCGCCACTAAGGAACACAAAATATCAAATGGCTTAACGACGATCAAACATCAGCAGCTGGAAGTGATTCAAAAATGTCTCCCGGTGGTTTGAAGTCGACTTGCTTACCATGTTGACGGTTGTGACGGAGCCCTCGAGGCGGACACTCTGCCCGGGTGGTACAAATTGGACGGAATGCCTCGCAGGTCAGCTCCAGGAGAGGACAAGTGACGCCTGTCACTCGAAGAAAGGCTGCGATCCAGGCCAGAGTCTTGGAGGGAGAGCAGGCTGGAGGTAGAGGAGAGGCTGAAGGTGTCTGGGGGAAGCGTTGGGGGAAATTCATTCGAAGAAGCAGAGAAGAAAAAGAAAAAGGAGGTAAGCATTGTACATTTTTCTCCACAACACGATTTGTTTTGTCCCCCAAAGAGCAGAAAAAAAGTGATTACCCAAAGCAACTGAATTCTGACTTTGCAACTTCGCTAATCTCTAAAGAGCATTAAAAAAAGGGCAAGAAGACAAAAACTGTCGGAATGCAAACTAGGATGTCCAAAAGAGGGCAAGGGCAGTTAGATAAAGTGCAGGATCTCTCTGAGAACAAGTCCAAATTCTGCCTTGGCGCGCCCACCTGAATGGGAGGCGTTTTCCGACTGCAGATAAGCACTGAGAGGCCTCGGCCCAGCCCGCTCTCTCCCCTCATCTTTCTTGGCGTTTCTCTTCCTCAGCACGTACTGAGCCACGGCATCTTGCTGAAGCTGACGCAAGTCGGGCCTGGACATGGCGTTGTTTGCGAATCCCAGTTCAAACATCTTCCGCCGGTCAGCCACACTGGTCTCTAGCAGGAAGGAAGATCGGTGTCGTTTCACGAGGTGAGCCGCCTGAGCTGACTTTGGTGGCTCAAGTTCGGAAGAGTTACTTTGGACGACACCGTGTGTGCGTGCCTTTTAAAAGTTCAATACGAGCTCGACTCAAAACAAGGACCGGACGAGACTAGCTGTACGATGTGTATTGTAAGGCCGTTTTGTTTGATTTACCTCCGCCAAGCTTGAAGAGACCTCTCTCAGAATCCGAGATGCCAATCTCGTTCATGTTGTCCGGCTCAGAATAGGAGCGTTTCTTCTGGCCCGGCGTGAGACGTTTGCGTCCGCCGATTCGCAACACGGCGGGAGGTCCGACGGGCGCGACGTCGGGTAAGGCCGGGGGACTTGGGCCTCGGGTCTCCGGTCCGACCACGTGGCGCTCTTTTGGAGTGTGAGGGGATGGGACCGGGGTGTGGACGAGGACGCTCAGGGGCTTGGGCATGGTTTTCGGGCCTTTCTTCTCCGAGGGTGGATGGTTGCCCACCAAAGGCGGAGGCTGATGGCTGCCACGTGAGGCGGGATTGGGGGAATAAACTGCACGTGAGGAACGGACGGGGGAGGAATTCTGTTTCAAGGAGATCGAGCGCAGGACCTTCGATTGCGCCTCTTTCAATGAGTCCTTGTAGGATCTGCTTGAAGACAAGGTTTCCATGTTAGGATGGTCGACAGACACGGCGCGCCAACTGGCCGACGGTAAAACGGCGGCCTGCCGATGTGACCTCCGACCTGTGGAAGGACGCGTCCTGCAAAGCGCCCGACGTGTTGTGGACGTCTTGTTTCCATAAGGTCGTGCTCTCATCGTCTTCCCTGGGTCCAGCCAAATGGAGGCTGCTTAGACTCCTCTCCAGGGCTGAACTGGGATCGGGTGCGGTCCTGAGCAGAGCAGGAGAAGAAAAGCGCTAAGAAAATGCACAACCTCCCCCGAGGCCGACTAGGCATCCGTCTGTAACTCGGCTTTTGTGAGCCAAGCAACGGAAGGGCTCAACAACGGTTTTGGAAAACATATGTTTTGCCTTTCCACAGACTGCGATACACGCTAGCGAAAGCTCGTGTCCCATCGAAATAGAGCTGCGTCACCAGCCCACCTGTCTTTCTTGCAATGGCCGCCGCCTCCTCTGTAGCTCATCGTTCTGTGGGCTTTGGTGCTCCTTTCGAGCATGCTTCTGAGATCCTCCGCTCCACAGGGGGCGCCGTGGGATTTGTCCAGCAACTGATTCTGAATGATTTAAGCATTGCAACTTAGTAGAGCAAGATTGGTTGATGGATCAGGATTTGTGAAGCTTGCGTGCGAAATGTAAAGATGCATTTCTTGGTTTGTTTGACTCACCCGGCGGAAAGAGCTTTTGTGGTGGTTGTGACTGATGCTTTGACTCCGTTGCTTTCCTTCTCTGTCACAATGCTCAAAGCGACTGACCCTCTCTAGGACAGAGAGACTACGGGTGGGTCCCTGGATACCCTCACCCAATGTGTCGTTGTCATGACTACTGGCAGAGACGGCACCGTTTGGGCTGGTGGAACGCTGTACCTCGACCAGGGCATTCTCCAGACGAGTCAGTGGGTGTTCTTTGTCTCTGTTCTGCTCTTTCTGCTCCGCGTGATGGTAATGAAGAGCTGCTGAGTCACTGTGGTGACGGAGGGAGGCCTGAGCGGAGCAGGCGGGGGAGGAGTGTTGAGGCTGAACTAATGAATGGGAAGGGGGCACTTGTCCCTGCGCGACTCTTGAGTACGACACTGGCTCTGGATGGACGTTGGGTTGCTCCACCAATCTGAAAAGAGAAGATGAAATTCATCATTCGTGTGACGTCTCGCAAATTTAAGGGGAATTCCAGTTTGTCACTAAATCTGCAAGTCGAAGTTTAAATTCAGTTCTTTCCGACCGGCGTCATCTGAGACGGACCGGCGCAAAGTCGAGAAGCGTGCTGTGGTCTGACGAGCCCACATTTCAATTTGCTTTTGGATATCATGCGTCCTCCGGGCTAAAAGGAAATGGACCACCCAGATTTTTATCAGCGAAAGGTTCAAAAGCCCAACTCTGTGATCTTAAGCGGGTGTGTTAAGGCATGCCGATGCATGGGTAACTTGCACATCTGTGAAGGCACCATTCATGTTGAAATATACTGTATATACCGGTAAAATATCGACCCCGCCAGTACTTGACTAAGGAACTTCAAAAGTATTAGGGTGTATTGTAGCAGTGGTATTCTTTTCGACTTGTACATACCTTCTCACGTGCCCCCCCGACTGCACAGTTGTGTAAGGATCCCTCCGCTCTTGGAAGGTGTGGGGTCCGAGAGTCAAAGGTGACTGAGTTTGGGGATTTAGGAAGTCTTGTTCCTGCACCATTCGGTTGTGGGGTCCTTGGTTGGAATGCATATGGGGGTGATGCGGGCTGTCAGCCTGAGGTCCCTGCTGGCGCTGAAACACGTTGGCCCCCGCTTGGCTCTCGGATCTTCCTGCAGTCGGAAAGGCTCTGTTGTGACCAAAATGACTGTCCTCCTGTTGATTCCTGATCGAGTCGGAGGAGAAAGAGAACATCAGAGTCTGGGGGGGAAACGGGTGGAAACACTTGTACGCATCTGTTGACTGACACATCAAATCATTACCTTGGTGAGTCGTGCGCTCCGCTCGGCGTTGCGGCAACGGGCGGAACGGCGGAGTGGACGTACGGTGATGAAATGTCCATTTGGTGACCTTTTTCAATCGATGGCGGTTTTCCATCCCTCCATCGCTCGCTCGCTTCCTCCTCCTGTCCTCTGACCTTCTGCGGACCTTGCTGCTGTTGCCGGTTGCTGTCATTGGCCAGAGCAGGATATACTCCCGAGGCAGATGATACGGGACTCGAACCGGGCATCTGCGCATAGTGGGGTTCTGGCTGGGGTACGGGGTAAACGCCCGTGGGCAGAATCGGGCGTCCTGACTGGGGAGCTGCGCTCGTCAAGCTGGTGGAAGGTCCAGAAGGTGAACCTGGCGGGGAAAAGCCCTGACGGGGCTTTGTGGTGGGGCTGCTCTCTGGACTCTTTTCGATGACCGTGTGGAGCTGACCATCAGTCAAGCACGAGCCTTTAGCTGAAATTGCAATCAGGTAAAATGTCAACCAATCATTTTCATTCCAACTGATCCAACCATTAGGGTGGCAGATGAGATGTCGATCCTAGCTGACGTTGGGAAAGAGGTGAGCTGCACCCTGCACTGGCCAGCCAATCCTAGATAAGGCATCTTACATATTGATATGGCTAAATAAGTGGCAGATTTGGTTCTCTCTCTTTCTGTAGATAAACGTAGATAACTTCTTCATACTGTACCTGTGCTTGAGGCGAGTGGCCCACTGGAGTGGTGATAGGAGCCCTTCTGCAGAGCCCTGTTTGGAACGTGACCCGTTAGATGAAATGTAATATTAAAGGGAAGAGAATGTTTCAGTGCAATATACGGACTGATCGAAAAAAATGTTGTACTCTAATAGCATCGCCAATTCTCCCTCCAATAGATCATAAATAAAACTCTCAATCAAATAATAAACACGTGTGTAAACAAGTTGAACGCTTTACATTTCAAAATGATTGCTTAAACACAAGCAACAGAACCGTTTTTCAAGGAATACACCAAAGAATGATAATTGCTCGTCTGAAAAATTCGTCCGGTTTTTCGTCAGCTATTCATTCAAAAGGCGTTCCGTAGGAAAAAGCCAACCGGCTCACCGATTAACCGCCCGGGGTTGCTCCACACTTGACCAAGAGTTGGGCCTCTCGTGGCTCTTGATGGCCGCAAAGCTGTCGCTGCGCCGCGGCGGAGCCGGCGCCCCCTTCAGGTTCTCATAAGAGCCGGGACTGGTTCCGGGTGCCCATATAGGACCCACGCTGTGCCTGTTCGCAGCCAGCACGCCACTGCTACTGGCACCGCTGCTGTTGCTGCTGCCGCGGTAACAGACTCCACCTAATGGCAGCAAAGGTTAACAAATAAATAAATCATAAATGCCACCCATCCAAAAATGACCACTGTCTTGATCGTGGTACTTTACTTGGCGCATCTCTGCTGTGCCCTCCCTTTGCTCCTTCCCCACTTCTTGAATCGTCGTTATGGAGCGATAATGCCGACGGAGAGCTCAGCTCCTGCTCCTGAGAGAGCCCCTGCTGGGTATTGTAAACCGTCCGGATGTAACGTATATCGGCATGTTGCATCTCTCCGCTTCCTCCTCTCTGGGGCACCGTGTCCAGTGAATAGGAGCGCTCGGGACTGAAGGGTGGAGCGGAGGCGAGGTACTCTGGAATACTGGAGCTGGTGGAGAAGGAGGAGTATGCCGAGTCGCGCTTGCTGTGGAGGTGATCGATGCTGTTGGAGGACCTAGAACGAGACGTGACGTTTATTTGAGGGTTTGGTTGAAAAATCGGAGGAAGAAACACGCCTCATAATCTGTGCTGGTATTTAGAGCTTCCTTTTTTTTTTGTTGTCACTTCTCTGTCCAAAGGCAACATGCAACCAGTCCCTAAACAATTGAGTGACGAGACTGTGACTAGTGGTTTGCTTTTTTTCCTGTGAGGGCCAAGAAACGTGTCCGTTCACTGACTGGGGGGCGGGGTCAGTTTGTAACTAAAAGTATGACGATCGCAGGGGTGTCCGTCCAAACATAAACGTTTCTTGTTTTCCAAAAAGCCACACATGACCAAATATTAACCCTTTCAGGAAAAAAAAAAAAAATCTGAACAGAAAAAGAGGATCTACCAGCAGATGCAAACCACCCGATGTCAGGGCTCGGACTTGAATAGTTTCTTCTGAGATACACACAGCAGTCTTTTCATTGATGAATCACATGATGGAAGTTGCAAAGCGAATTGAGAAGCGAGGAGAAACATTTGGTATGGACATAAAGAGAGAAAGATGCAATCAAACAGGTCGGGAAAGCATTCACCATGCAACAATGACACTCAAGAACAAAAGGCTTCATCGGGTGAGGGAAGTGGAAGATTTGAAACTGGCCAAGTCAACCTCGAGCTTCAAACCTTGAAGGGAGTTTCGATATTCATGAATATACATTTCGATATCGGTGAACTTAATAACATTCTACCATCATAGGCTGGCTCTGATGGCCGAGATACGAGACGTGTCAATCGTGACAGGCAGCGCCACAGATTGATGATTGAGGACTTTGTCCTTCACTTTGCTGCCAAGATGGGATAAAACGCAGCCTCTTACATGTCGGACTTTGATTGGATTAAAAATTGAGAACGTTGATACAAACCTGGCAGACGATAGCTGTTGGCAGGAGGAGTACGCAGGGTGGGGGCCACTGTGGCTGTGATGGCCCAGCGTGTGGTGGTGCTGGAGGTGCGCAGGCGCAGGAGGATCCAAACTCTCCATGCTGCCTCTTGAGCTGTACTGGTCGGGACTCTTCCTCAGGTAGCCGCCGTCCGATTCAAACCCGCCCGAGAGGTCCGTGGTGGAGGCACTGCTCAATACGCACAAAGAATATTTGATGACCATTAGGCAGGAACAGAAAGGACCGCGCTCTTGCTAACCAGACGGAGGACAAAAATGCTGTTTTGCATACGTGCAAAATACAGTTGCGCTTCGAAAAGGATATACAAAAAGGTCAATGGAAATTGTCCCGAGGTATGATTGTGAGCCCCGAACGGTTGTTGGTCTGAGCGTGCCCCACAACTGGTTGGCGACCAGTTCAGGGTGTACCCCGCCTCCTACCCGAAGACCGCGGGGATAGCCTCGAGCACGCCCGCGACCCTCGTGAGGAGAAGCAGATTCGAAAATGGATGCATGGAAGAGGGGAGGTGAGGGCAGAATAGACAAAAGTCTCCATTTTTTGGGGTCAATCTTTTAAAAGTTTCAAAACCTTGATAAATGTGATGTTTGTAACCTCGCGACAATAAGTGAGACATGGACCGAAGATGAGTTTTTGGGTACTGCGAGCGTGTGCATGTGGGTCGTTGTCTGCGTGTGTGCATCGACGTCCCACTTTGATTCACCAACGCTTCCAAGCGAACACAACGCAATTACTGCTTTTGAAAAGAGGCCAGTCTTTGCCGTTCTTTTTTTCTGTGTCAGTAACTTTTCCTGCTTCGGGAACTTGTGTCAGCCCCTCTGCCTCTGTCCACCTTTTGTTACATCTGAAGACATGACGTGAAAAACAACTTTCAAATCCAGAATGCCTCAGCCTCAAGTTAGCATAGCAGTCCAACAGTCGTGTCCGTCGAGTGCGTGCATCTGTTGTGGGGGGTGAGTTGTTGCCACGGGAGACCCGGAGGTGACGTGGGGAGGGAACATGAAGAATTCCCCCTCTCTTTGGGTATTAGCGTCAATGCCCCCGCCTAACAAACAGAGTCATGTCACAGCCTTTCACTTCCATTTACTGCCGTTTAACAAAAACACTGACGTCACTTTGTCCGATGACATCAATCTGCCGACCAACGGCTCCTCTTTACGTAACAGACACGTCGTACGCGACGCCGCGCATAGGGCTCGATTTGAAAATTGCCATGGCTGATTTTGCGTTTTTTTTAAATAACACATTCAAGAGGCAGGCGCAAAGAAGCATGCAAAAGCGGTGCAAACACTTGTTATCAATCTGCGCTCGTTTCAAAAGAGTCCACCAAAGACAAACAAAGCAGACACTGACCTTGCGTGGTAATTGTGATGCCAAGCGCTACTCATGGTGTCCATCCCTTCCTGCTCTGACTCCTGCTGACCTTCACCCAGTTTTGTTGAATGCCACGAGTGAGGACGAGATGCCGTTTCACTGCGTCTGTGAGGAGGTTTGCGCACAAAGAAATTGTTTTGCAACGTGACACGATCGGAACATTTTCAAACATGTCATTAAAATGAAGAAGGAGGATTGATCTGCATGGGACATTTCATTAGGTATGGCTGTCGTGCCAACCACCGGTCTGCGGACGAGTGGCAGGCCGCGGCAAATTTGGTAGCGGGCCACACAGAAAAAGATATATCTCAATATTGTGTGGGCGGTGCGACAGCCAACCCGACACTCCGTCCGTTACCTTTCGAAGAGCAATACAACTAGGGGGCGGGGGGGGGGGTCATAATATCATTGTTAGAATATATTGTTTTGTTTTTGTTGCACTGTTGAATAAAAATGTGTAAAATGAAAGAAAAAAATGTCGTGTGTTCACGGCATGACATATCCACCGAGTTATGATTTCAATATTAAAACTCAAAGCATCCAAATACGTGACGGCAGCAAAATATCCAGCACCAAAAATCTTAACTCAATTGCAATTTTGTAAGCAGAGAATTTTTTTTTTTTTTTTCCCGAAGAACAATCATGCCTGTGACTTCACATTTCACATCACTCTGGATAGGTTTGGCTTTCCGTATTTATTCATGCCGACAAACAGGAAAAGATCGTATCTGCATAATGAGGGGACAGCTACGTGAAATCATGCATGTTTCAGAACCTCGGGAAAATGCATAATGACAGGACGCGACTGGCAAAACCTCGGCGTTTTATCATCTGTGCTGGCATGACACAAATAGCGGTCGATTCATTTTCTGCGCTGTTTATGCTGTGCGGGATTGCTGAGGAGCTGGCCGAATAAAAGTTGATGAAGGGTGAGAGGTGGACTGCACCCCGCTCCAAGAACAAAAGCATGCACCCCGAGCTGGTCGCCAGTCCGTCACAGGGCACATACAGAAACAAACGACCATTTGCACCCTCATTCACGCCGTCACTCAGCGGGACTTGATCCCACGCTGCCTGCACACAAGTCAGGCGAGTGGACCACGACAACATCGGCGACCCCCACATTTATTCAGAAATGTATATCAAAATATCTATCTATCGATCGATCAATCTTTTTGGGTATTTCTTAAATCGAGTCTTGATCAGTTCAGTAGGACGTGCCTTCCATATGTCAACGTTTCATGTAACATGAGAAGATGAAAAACGGTCGCGTGTTTAATCGCAATTGCAATATTGAGCCGGCGGACAAACGCGCGGTGGGATTGTTTTTCAAATCGCTCATCCCAACTAACAAATATTCCACTTCCGTTCAGGAGTCAGTTCTGAAGCGAGATATTGCTTGTACACGGAAACGTTTAGTTGGATTCTACCAAATCATCCATGAAGCGATACATGCATCATTCTTTCTCCAATACTGTTATTACTAACGGGGCAGCATCACGTTGTTACAAAAGAAATCAAAGTGAACCGTTTTACCTGGATGTGAATCTGAGTACTTTGGAAATGAGGCCAGTCGCCAGGTTGTTGACGCTCGCCTCCGACGGCGACCGACACAGCGCCCCCTCGGACCGACCCAGCGCCGCTTTTTTCTGCTTCTTTCGAAGCTTCCTACGATAGAATACCTCCAACAACTCCATGGCCTCGCTTTTCACCGCTGGCTTAAAATACACTTAAAAGCTCTTTGTCCTGCGAGAAAAGATTTTTTTCAGCAGTATTTGATCTGCAAAATTTTGTTCAGCTTCATATGAAAGCCTCAACCTTTAGCTGTCTTCCGCATCCTCTCTCATTTCCCGTCTCAAACCGAATATCCAGTCTCTCGTCTCTTCTCTACTGAGAGTAAAACTGCAGCATGACCACGGAGAAGCGAGCCCCTCTGCAACTACTGCGTCTCTTCCCTCCGACTGCTATCTTGGTACTGGTGGGCTGGAGAGATTGGCACCGTTTTGCCCACTGACCCTCAGCGTGTCGAGCAATTGAAGCAATTACGAGTCATTAGGCTGCCGCATGTTAAAAGCATGAAGTAAACATCCCTGCTGGATGCTAGCTGTGGATGTGCGGAGAGAGCGGAAAGAGAGAGAGAGAGAGAGGTGCAAGACAGTGAGAGAATGAGTAGCGGGGAAGGGCAGGGGAATGGAATGTGATAAGAGAAAAGAGATAGTGGCCAATTAAAAACTCAAGAACTGATCGAGATTTGCATCTATGTTTTTTGCAGGTGATGTGGAACTGTCGGCGTCAAAAAGCCGCTATCGCCAACTGTCACTCGAGCGGTTCCGGTGTGAAGCGGTTTGCCTCCGACTGCTATCTTGGTACTGGTGGGCTGGAGAGATTGGCACCGTTTTGCCCACTGACCCTCAGCGTGTCGAGCAATTGAAGCAATTACGAGTCATTAGGCTGCCGCATGTTAAAAGCATGAAGTAAACATCCCTGCTGGATGCTAGCTGTGGATGTGCGGAGAGAGCGGAAAGAAAGAGAGAGAGAGAGAGGTGCAAGACAGTGAGAGAATGAGTAGCGGGGAAGGGCAGGGGAATGGAATGTGATAAGAGAAAAGAGATAGTGGCCAATTAAAAACTCAAGAACTGATCGAGATTTGCATCTATGTTTTTTGCAGGTGATGTGGAACTGTCGGCGTCAAAAAGCCGCTATCGCCAACTGTCACTCGAGCGGTTCCGGTGTGAAGCGGTTTGGATGAAAATCAGCACCCGACGTATCTGAGAACACAGTCCTCAGGTAGAAAAGAGTGGAGTGCCCTTTGCAGGTCAGGGACGAGATCCTGCCGCAAGCGGAGGAGTTCAAGCCTCTCGGGGTCTTGTTCATGAGGACTGGGCGAGAGATCATCGAGTGGATTGGTGCAGGATCTGCGTAGTGTCGACCGTATTGGTCTGTCGTGGTCAAGTGAATGGCTTTGGGTTCCCCCGCAAGAGCTGGACGAAGTGGCTGGGGAGAGGGACGTATAGACCTCCCCACGTAAGACGCTGCTCCTGTGACCTGACCCCGGAGAAGCAGAAGAAAAGGGATGGACAACCTGCCCCGACATCTCAGCCATTAAGAACGAAAATTGCTTCAAAATGGCATTGCGTTAATTTCCAACTTCAATTATTATTATGATGTATTAATCACACATCACTTTCAGTTGCATTTTTATGTATGAATAATGCCTTATAAATAAAGTTTGATTGATAAACCAGGTACACATTTATCTTGATGTTATCCCTCCCTGTTTTTACTCCAACTACCTCCACTCGTATGACTTCAAGCTTGAAATGGGGGGGGGGGGCTTCCGATTAAATTGCTTTTTTATCTAGCCATAGGAATGATATGGCAATGCGACAGAGGGCAGATTACTACAAATGGTGCAATTACTGATTTAATGTGGAGTCTCCCCGAGTGCTCAGACCAAACACAAAGTCTGTTTTGCAAGAAAAGTGCCGTGGGAAACCCAAAAAGAGCAATCTCTCAGATCTGCCCGGAAATCAAAATAGACGTTTGTCAAAACACGCACATGAAACTATGTTAATAGCTGCTGTGTGTGTGTGTGCGTGTGTGTGTGTGTGTGTGTGTGGGGGGGGGCATGTGAGGCTGTCCGAGCCTGCCATACGTGTGTGTTCTTTCAACAACACACTTTTAAGGTCCTTGTATAATCACCTTTAAGGACCCCCACTATAAGTTGAAAGACTACAGTGACAATTTCTTCAGTCCCAAGTGGACGCGCATTCCATAGCGCAGTCCAGTGTCCAATTTGTATTCATCGCAGATTCGAAGAGCACAAAAGTAACGCCGCCGTCGTTATTGGGATGAAACAAAACCTAGGGGTCTCTCGTGACAAATGGCGAGAGACACATGGTTGCGCTAATAGTCAGTGGGACATGAGGCAAGAGTCACCCGATCAAAGGAAAATGTTTGGATTGTTTCGGTGCAGTGCGTGTGTTGAAAGCAATTATGCGATGAGCTCATTTTGAGAGAATGTGATGACTCAGTATCAAGAAACATCAACTTGGAATCACTGAAAATAGACGAGCGGAGGAGGACGGACGGGCTCGGAGAGAAGCGTGACGAGAGAAGGGACGAACTGAGATCAACACCGGACAGGGAGGAGGAGGGCGGGAGGTGGAGAAGCGGGGAAAATAAAAACGCATTTTGGACACCAGAAAGAAAGAAGAAAAACGAGTAGGATGAGGACAAGGAACAAGACAAGAGAGGATGTCCAGTCAAGGATTGAGAGTGAGAGATGGACAGATAAAAGGGGAGAAGGAGGGGAAATGAAAGGAACGGGGGGATCCTGTTATCAAATGTCCCTCACAAATGAACACCCAGCCTCGTGGGGCTTGGGTCCACTTCCTGTTTTTGGGCCAATCACACACGAGGATCCTCCCCGTCCCCACCCAACGTTATCTGATGTCAGCCCTGAGCCAAGGGGCTTGCGGGAGAAGAATAAGAGACATTCTGCTCTTTCTTCATCTGAAAAGCGGAAAATCCACATCTTTATCCCCAAGATCGTCGCCGACATGTAATGGGCTTCCTCCCTTTGTCGTGGGAATACGTTTTGTACTTTGGGGGTAACCGCGAGTGCCCATCTCTTTAGCAGTTGACAACGTCCAAATGACTGCTATGACAAACAAGGTGCAAACAAAGCCCGCCGTGTGCTAAGGCGTCTTCCCGTAGGATGCCGTCGTCTGTCACGAAGCCATACCGCTAACGCAGGATCAAAGTTATGACATCGATGGAGGACCCGTGCCGTTGTCTGTACATATTCAAGGCACCTAGCTTGAATGCATGTGGCGAGAACACTTGGTGACGGATGATTGCACAAGCAGCAGCATCCCAAGTTCATCCAAGTTCCTCAGACCCATCGAAGAATCAACATCAGTGGCTTAAGTCGCGCTATAGCGCCATCGTGAGGCTGCGATGGTCCGAAGCGCGGTCCCAAACGTTGCAACGCACACACGCAAAAACACACACGCACACACATGATCTGACCTCCATATTAGGATGAAACTGGCTGCGGACGAGCAATCGTATTTATAGACTGTTTGTGTGGACCGAGAGAGAATGACAGGAGGGGAAGGTGACCGCTTTGACAAACAGTGTTAAACCAGGACGCGCGTGGATATGAGATGCAGGACGCCGAACCCCATTCAGAACAACTTCTGATCCACACTGCTTGTACTTTTTTATTTTTTTAGAGTCTTTGCGTGATGAAAAATATTTACTGATTTAAAAAAAAAAAGTGAGCTATTACGAGGATATCAGAGGATAACTAACACCTTTCCAGCAACACCTTTGTACAATTATTAACAAAGTTATTAGATCCTTATTTGTAACTTCTAAAAGTAACCCAGTTAGCCAGCTGAAATTTGGGACTGATGGAATTTTTTGTTTCTTTCGTGACTCCTCTAATATCTGAACAGTGGTTTCCCTCTCTGAAGCGATGAATTCGACATTTAGGGGTGGCTTTTGAGTGCAAAGTAATGATCTAGTGACGACACAACTCGACCGTGGCACTGAATGATTGGATTCCAAGCGGGTGGCAATTCATGAATTTTTAAGCACCGGGACTCATTTTTCAATGCGGATCATTCGACTCCCCACACACTCCACCGATGTAAACAAAGCCGCCGACGAAGAAACGGGGAACATTGTTAGGAGATCACCATGGAAATATCGGCTGTTTGAACCCTGAATCCCAAACACACAAGTGGAGTCGATAAATCCTCCGACACTTGCGCATATACAAAGAAAGCGTAGCCAGGACATCCTACCGCAAGGGGTCATGACCTGCTGAACTGGCGCGAGTCCCGCTTCACCGACAACGCCCAGCCAGGACATCCTACCGCAAGGGGTCATGACCTGCCGAACTGACAACGCCTGTACCACACGTACAAACCAAAGAGGATTTCCGCATAAAAGGGACTCTTGTTTTTGTTCAGTAAGCGAGATGACTCATTTCACAGCTGGCCACACGTTGCTTCACGTTGTTCATCCGGCGAGACCGACCTTTTGAGTGTCATGTACCTGTTCTTGATGCGTAGCGGGACCCCTCCCGTGGAACATGGTCGGCTGCGGCGGGTTGTTTTTTGTTGATGCGGCGGTGGCGGTGATGTGGAAGAAAGAGGAGGAGGTGAAGGGGCAGAAAAAGAAGAAGGATATGAGAGAGGTGAAGAGCCAAATTCCTCAATGTATCCAGGATCAAATTCCCTAAGGATGGAAAAAGGAAAATGATTATTACAAGGGGATCTGCTTACATCACCAGTGAAATGCAAAAAAAATGGGAAATCATTTATTCTGCGCTTAGTTTGAATTTACAATCGCGTTCTTTCGATTGCTTCGCTTCGTCAAGTACCATTCATTTATTTTGAGCGCTTTGCTCTTTCACAACAAAGACCGTTTGCCTTATTGCTACCAATCCACACTCGCTGTGACAGACAAAACAAACCCGTTTATTGTCTTCACAACCCTGTGCGCCAGACAAGACATCGTGTTTTGTTCCTAGTTTCTTTTTTTAATCAGTACAGTGGTGTGTACTGAATCCTCCTGATCAGTGGCAGTACAGAGATTAAATGTGCAACTAAACAGCTGAAGTTATTTGATGAAGGACCCAGACACTCATGTAAATCATCATCTCATTCTCACATCACACATTGAACCACCGATTGTCAAATATCCAGCTAGCTAGCTAGCTAGCTAGCTGGATAGATGGATAGATAGATAGAAAGCGCAAAATGAACCTTGACGTGATGGAATTGGAAGTGTAAAAGGCAAACATACTACAGCGTGACAGAATATCGATCGATCAGTGCGATAATTCGGAGGAAGCCAGAAGCAACTGTAGAAGAAAGCGTTCCGTTATATTGAACTGGTCCCGAGTCGGTAGTCATCTGGATGTACAATATGTGACCATCATGCCTAACGTTAAAACTCAAAAACTTGGAAAGCTGATCTTGGAGAGGCCAGCACTGATTGTCGCAATATGCCGAAATGAGCGAAAGGCACAAAAATCAGCGCTGAAGGGAGTTTTGACGGAGGCGAAATAGCATGACACCTTCTTGTGATTGGCCCCAAGTCAGTCGTGAGATCATTCGGAAGCTCCACAATGGCATTGCTGAAGAGACAATACATCGCAATCATATTTGTTTCTGGCATTTCAAAAATGTTTTCACGAGCAAAGCAGTTCTTCCCACCACCTCCCATTTTACATGCGCTACACTGATTGTACGCAACTCCTCCCAGAATGCACCAAATGAACTGCGCTGCATTTTTTGCACATGAAGCAGACGGAATCCTGGTTGCGCCCAGTTCGCAAATTGCCTTCCACATTTGTTTGTGAGCCTGCTATTGCATTCGCAAACGTTGAGTAAATCAGGTCCTCGCTCTTCTCTTGAGTCTATTTTCAGTCGCCCTAAATACCTTCTGCTACTTTTGTTTACCTACAAACGTGGTCTTAAATTACAAATATGGAGATGAGATTACAGATGCAGAGGAAAAATGCACATCTGCACTGCAAAAAAAAAAAAAAAAATGTACCGGTAGTCAATTTTATTTCATCAAGTCGCTGCATGAAATAAAATCATCTGGATCCAGATCATTTTTTAAGACTATAAATCTACTTTTAAAAATGTATCTGGATTCAGATTTTATGCAGCCACTGAACAGAATAAAATGTGTAAAGTCAACACACTGTTTTGTTTTGTTTTCAGTGTGTTGATCTCCTTTCTCATACTCCTATTTTAATTTCAAATCCAAATGTTTTCAGTCTACAGCAACGTTGAAGAAATTTCCCTCCTTGTTCCAGAACATTTGGACAGACGTGGATGTAAATGCTTCATTTTATTTGTTTAGCAAATGAATCCATTTTACTCGACGATACTGCGTTCGCATAATGACGTTGAACATTTTCTATTAATTGACTTGGTTTGACTTATGGAACAGCAAGTCGATAGTGAATAGCCTTGGGTAAAACGGCAGGCAATCTTTCTACTATTTACTTTGCAACCATTGTGAGGGATCAGATACGAGTGCATTTGCACACTCATAAAAGCTTCTCTTGATAAACTGCTGATTTAAAGGCTGATGAACCTGTCGAGCTCATTGCTTTTTTTTGGGGGCCTCTTGTTGTGGAATTTGACCCAGAAAAGAAACAAATTCTCTCGGATCTGACTAACTTTGTTGTCTTGAATGCAGAATTTTACACTTGTGTTACCGACACTGTGGCCTGGGGGCCATTTGCGGCCCACCATCCATTTTTTAGCGGCCCACGACAAGACAAAAAAAAAATCCTTTGGCTTCTGTCTCCGCATCAGACCTGATTTTTAGTTTTACAGGTTTTGCGCTTGGTACTATCTTCACTATTCAATGTTAATTAATCGTTTTATTGTTGTATGAATTCTTTTTGCACCGTGTACAGCACTTTGTATACAGCGGTGGTTGTTTTCACATGCTCTAGAAATACACTTGAGTGGAGTTAACCCTTTCATTCCTTTTTTCTGTATGCGGCCCTCAAACGAAATCGTTTGGACACCCCTTGACATACACATGATGTAAAATAGCGCCCTTGGAAAAAGAAACACAGTAATAAAAATGATATCCAAAACATTACTCATCTCATTTCAGATTTTGTTTTTTTCTGCTCAGCTGGATTGCTATTGAAGTGTTAAACAATAAACATGATTGTTGTGCGATAACAAACACATCTGTCATTTATTTAGGTCAGGGAATTTGCGTTACACCACCCCCGGGAGAGGTCTATGAATCAACAATTCTTTGAAACGGAAATAAATCCTGAACCAAAAAAAAAAAAAAGGAGGCGCACGGAGAAGAGGCTCAACGTGAAACCTGTTCAACTGGTGTCAGGAATGTGGAACACCCTGAAATCTCCTCAACAGGAGGCACCGTGTTGTCACATTCCACTCGCCATCATGCACAGACACACACGCACGAACATCCGGAGGTGAAGAGCAACGTACGCCAGTTGGCCACTTTTAAGTTGCCAAAAATCGTGCTGAGATGGGACGCAAACTTTTTCGCTCTGTTCAGTTTCAAATATTAATATGAATGGCCTATCAACAGGGCCCTTGTCTTAAGCATCTCCAGTTGGTCCACAATGCTGCTGCTGCTGCTGCTGCTCGCAGTAAGGAGCACATCTCTGCTACTCTGGCATCCCTCCACTGGCACATTTTAGAGTTCTTTTGAAAATCCTATTATTTGTCTTCAAATCTTGAAATGGCCTCACCCCACCTTAACTCTCTGAGCCCCTACGCAGCTGCCCGCTGCCTCAGGTCCACGGACCGGACACTATTCGAGGTACCGAGAACTAAGCGGAGGCTCAGAGAGGATGGAGCTTCTTGAAACTCATTTTTCTTCTTTGGCTTTGGACTCAGCATGAGACTTGAGTTTTAGTGGAACTGTTTTTGTGCTTTCTACCGTCTTCGTTACGAATCGGTCGTTTCACTGTTTGTTGTTGTCGGAATTCTTTTTGCTCCATGCGCAGCACTTGGTCGACACCAATCAGTCCAGCAAGCCTTACGTACACCAAGACGATGCGCCAAGGCGACAGTAGCGGACACGGCCGAACGGATTGCATCAGTGCGAGCCTCACGTGAAGTCATTGAAATCCCCCGATCAGATCGGCTTACAGTTTAGTGCCATTTACACATCCTCTTCTGGCAAAACAACACAAATACGGGCGTGAACAAACACCCGCCGCAATCTAAACAACACAAAAGCAGAAACCGTCACAGATGTGCCCGATATGCAACATTTGAGGTTTTGTGGATCATGAATTAAGGAAACAAACAGCAGCAAGAAGAGCAATGGCGGCAACTCGAACCAAACAAGATGAAATCATTCATTTTTAACTCATTCACTCCCAAAGACGTTTTTAAACGTCTTTTCAGACTTGGTCTAGAATTGGCTGGTACTGAATATTAAAATGTGTCTTATGTATTTACGGTGGTATACTTATTTTCTGGGACTGTTATTTCTGATGTCTGCGCGTGTGTGTTCGGTCATCACAGATACATTAATTTGGAATCGACGCGCATATCAAATATAGAATACCACATAGGTGGACGCGTGCAGTGAATCTACTCGAAAAACTAGCGTCGTTGCTTTTTTTTGTTTGTTTGTTTGTCACACGGTCAAAAAAGAAAGTTGTCCCTGAACCTAATTAGAGGTTGAACATCACGGTCCCAACATAAAAGCTCCCTCTGTGAACTGCCCCGTCTTCAGAATCTTATTAAAGAACACCCACGGATAGACACCCGTGCAGAGTGGTTGTCCTGGAAACGGTTTTGTTGCACTTGTCCCCGCACTGACTTCTTCCTGTTCGTTTTTGGGCCAGAGAAAGTCAAACATTCATTCGGCTTGATTACGACAAGCTGGCACAAAGGAAGAGAGTCAGCGAAAATGATTCAATGCAAGAAGAGGGGAAAAAAAAAACTGTCTGAGTGCGGACTTAGAGAGGGCACGGTTTGGAGTTCAATCCTCGAGAAGCCAAAGTCTCGATTGACCTTTGTTCTTATTGGAGTACTGTCATTAAAAAACAAATTGTAACCTGTACAGAAACGCATGACTTTGACTTGCTTTTGGACATACAACCTGCAAAAGCTCCTCACATTTCAGGGTCTTCATTTGTATTTTAAGAACAAACATCATCAGAACAACAAATTTTCCACTCCTCATATTAGCAACACCTGCGCAATCCCGAAAGGACCCGGAGGAGTTGTTTTAATATGCTTTCACAAAGATAAGATTGCTTTGTTAACTATTCGTTGATCGAACCATTCATCCATTTTGATGTCATTTTGCCCTTATGAGGGTCATGGCTGTTGTGGCGCTTTTTCTTCGCTGACTTTGGGTTCGAGATGGGCTTCCACCCCCCGGACTGGTCACCAGTCAATGACAAGGCACATGTAGACAACACTCACAGACACATTTGTGGACAATTTTGAGTTTTCAATCAACCTGCCATGCATGTTTGTTGGAACGTGGGAGGGAGCCGCAGGACCCGGAGAAAACTCGCGTAAGCGCACAGAGAACTCGCAAACTTGAAGAAATAGAAAATAACATCGTCTGTATTTAGGGGGCTTTCAGTGGTAAAGAAGTTCACCGCATCAACAGAGATGTGACTCATATTTTGCTTCGTATCCAACAGTGGCCACTAAATAGATGTTTTTGTGTATGGCACAGGCCGCTACGTCATGAAGGCAAACAACAAGCAGCTGCCACACAGGATGGCTTTTTTTTTTTTTTTTTGGCTGAAGGGAAAACAAACGACAAGCGCAATATAACCCCGGCATAGTGCCGACTGCTTCTAGTGGGGTATTAAATGACAAAACATCTGCAGAATGTGGAGCAAGGAACAATAGAGGCGATAAACACACTGACACACACACACACACACACACACACACACACACACACACACACACACACACACACACACACACACACACCGGCTTCACAAACGCTTGCCGGTACAAATCAACACAAACCTGCTCGAGAGAGGAGCGAAAGTCTTCCGTGTTATGTCACATCAAAAGCTATCAAGTGCAAGTTAAAGTTTAAAAGACGGTTCCTCGCCACGCATTCGCTCCGACGCTGACCTCGGCGTAGCGTAACACACTTCACTTTCACACTTTCAAGATCACCCGGCGCGGCAAACGTACCGAATATGATCACGGCCGCTACAAAAAAAGCAAAACCAAATGAATTGATGTGATCGAATATTGTGGCTCTCACCTGTGGATTAGCCCCGCATGATACAATCAGCATTCAGCAACATACAGTCAGTTTTACTTTCACTTAAATCGGAATGTTCCTCAGGTGTCATCGAAATGAGTTTATGTCCCGACACACACGGAGAGCGAGAAATATACACCGCACACCAAAGAACAAAATGGCACTTACAACTCCGATGCGACGGTCCTGGGGAAAAATACGATGCTTTATTTTGAAGGCGTTGACGCCATACTGCTCTCGAAAATGTTCGCGTGCGCCTGTTTCTTCCACTCTCTCTCTTAGCTTTGTTCTCAGTTTTTTTTTTTAAGCAACCAGGTTTGGCAGGAATGCACCAATCAGAAAGGCAGCGTGGCAGAAAACGGAGGACAGACAGAGAGTTGGACAGACAGGTATGGTGAGTGACGCAGCGTTTGACAGGCGCGCGCCGAGTTACACACCTTTTGTCTTCCCGAAATAGAGGATGAGGGATGTGCTCAAACACACACGGGGCATTTAAACAGCCATGCGAGTCAGAAAAAGTGAGCGGCATATATCGGTACACCCCTCCCCCCCCCACGTGCCAAGGTCACTCTCGTTAACGAAAAATGTCATGAATGACTCCATCTAAAATGGAAAAAAAGAAAAAACCACCCTTGAAATTAAATCAAAAAGAAATTGCTTAAAAAAAAGCCCGAAAACTACATTATATATTTATAAAAGTTACTAAATGTAAATATTTAAAAATAAATAAATAAATAAAAAAGTCATTTGTTTTCATCTTTGTTAGTTAATTTTCTGGGTTTACTTTCAATGTATCTATTTTGGTATTATTGTGCGGCTGCATAGAAGAAAATTAACTAGAGTGCGCAAGTGATGGTGACCTTTTTTTTTTTTAAATCTTGTGCTCCATAAATAGCTGCTATAATAAATAAATAAATAAATAATACAAAAAACTAGCAAAAACGAAACTAAAATGAAGCATTTGAGGGCGGTGGATAAAAAGGAAAAAAAAAGAAATCAAATGGAAAAAAAAGATAAGAAACTCACATTAAAAACTCACTAGAGGAGAATTTAAAAAGCTGATTAAAAATTAACCATAATAAAAAAAAACTATTACAAGCCTGGCACCCACAGAGACCTGCGTGGAAACAAACTTCCTCCTTTAACTAAATATAATTCATGTGTGCACTACGCATTCTTTTTTCTCACAATTTAAAACCGTTGTTGTAATAACATGCCCGTGACATGAAGGGTTGGCTTTTCTCCATGTGCCCTGCCATTGCTCAGCAACCGGCGCCCCCTGTGACCCTTACGAGGACAAGCAGTATCGCTTTGTGGAGAACACATGTCAGCATCCGCTGCGGTTTGTTTTCTTTCTTCACCTCAGGTCATTTCTTACAGTGAAGTGGTCAGCCGCATGGAACAATACAGCTTGTGAGTCTTAGGAGCTTCCCGGCATCCTTACAATTTCCTCTCCCCATAGCCGATTGATAAAATACAGTGTGTGAAGGAGTAAGACAACAAAGTCCAAAGGTGAGGGCAGCTCAAATAGGCCGCAATAAAGTTTGACCTACTTTACAAGTCTGCAACGCAAGTACGAAGTGGAAAAATGCCTCCCAAGGTCGAATTCTAATGACAAAAACTTAAAACTCCCTAAACTATTGCATGCATGAGATTTATATAACCAGTTGATATCATTTGGCAAAAACAGACTCGGCTACATCCACGAGAACCCGACAGGAAGTTCATCAGACAGACACACTTGAACTGTGATTGTTTGGAGGAGGAGTTCTCATGAGATTCTTGCCACACCTTAACACAATGCCATGGGTGCTACGACATGTGTCGGACTCTGTGTGTGTGTGTGTGTGTGTGTGTGTGTATGTGTGTGTGTGTGTGTGTGTGTGTGTGTGTGTGTGTGTGTGTGCGTGTGTGAATAAATTCCCGCGTTGAGTCAGTCCTCTCACTGGATCTCCAGAAAATAAAAACTGCAGTAGCAACAGAAGTTTTGCAAGCAGCCGCACCCCAAGCCCAAACACATAGCAACTATTGCAGCGAGCAGGGCATTAGCATGATTTCCAAAAGATGCTTTTACGGAACAAGACGCCTTTAGGCGGCCACGTTATCCCTTTATTAGCCTTTCTCATGGCTGATTTCAGAACGTGTGGCGTAATATAGCGGAGCCTTGGAAAGACGTAAGCATTCTTAAGGTGGGTGACCAACGCTATTGGTGGTCTCACTCTGGGGTGTCCAAACTACGGCCTGCCATCCATTTTTCAGCAGCCCGCGACATGGTTAAAAAAAAGACTAAAAATGACATTTGAAATGTTTAGTTAAGAAAGGTGAAGGTGGGCAGAGTGAGAAGGGAGGGAGTACTGTAGAACTGTTTGCTTTACAGCGGTCCCTCATCACTTCAAGTTTTGCGGCTTGAGTTGCAGTTAAGTGCAGAGCTGGATCTAATCTGTGAGATCAACGGCACGCATCCTTACCTGCGGACGGTGATCTGTAGAGTCTTGTACGATCCTTTGACGAGGGCGATGGCTTCCTGACGATAACCTGTCAGGTTGATGCCATTTATGATGCGAATCTCATCCCCCGCCTGCAGTGGGCACTCCAAAGCGTCTGCCTTACCGCCCTCTTCTACCTGCAAACGGACAGATTTTCTTACCCCAAACATATGCATGGATTTTGTCCATAATTAAAATGCCGTTTTTGTCATACGTCTGGATAGGAAGTGCATGCATGGTCTTATGGGGCCCTCCAATAGCGCTGATGAAACAGTGGGAGTTGCCCGTCCCTGTTCTAGAACATTCGGAACTTGCGTATCAGCAGCGCCGGAGCGCTTTATCAGTCCTTCTGATGACACCTCATAGCAGCATGGAGGCGAGTGAGCTAGTGGACATCTACATGTGTCTATTGAGTGTGTGTCATGTCAAGGTCACATTGTCTTGTTTTCTCTGGTTGCCTGTGAGATACTGTGTGTTCAAACTGGGAATGAGTTGACATTTCCATGAGCGTGAGCGGAATTCTTGTTGGGTTTGGCGGTTACATTTATTTGTCAATAGAAATATGCATCGTCAAGTCTACCGGGACTAAGCAGTCGCACTTCAGCTTTACAAGTATGACCAAAACAAGTGCTTCTATTAGTACACTAAACCACAAATATCTTTTCCCACAGCTGCTTTTGTCTCTTAGGATTAAACAAGAACTACCAAGATGGTATTGCTAAATAATGGGAGAAAACAAAAATAGGCGGGCCCCTTCATTGTGGTTATTTCTTGAATGCAAGTCTCGATTTGGTTATTCTTGGTTTGAGTGCTGATGCCGAGACACTGGAGAGGGACTGAGGGATTCACCGTCACTGCTCTTTATGCAATGTCGTCGGTCAGGACAATTATTTTGGTGTGGCGTTATGGGTGCAAATAAATGCCATGTCACTTGGTCTCGTTAGTTCCATTCATGTCATGAGACCTCCAGATTAAACTCATTAAGACTATTTAGCCTGAGCTGAAATGTGTGGAATAGGTGAACCTGACAAAGACGAAGAAATGTGCTGATGACAAACAACTTCGGATTAAAAAGTGAAATAAAAGTATCTTAAATGATAACTACGACAGATGGACAAGGAACAAATTAGATAAGTTTTGAGGTTGTGTTGGGGTCATACGAACTGAGCTATCACAAAATAAAACTGTGTTCATTTCTCCCACCCAAAAAAAACACATAATTCACATTCTTGTCCTATTATACAGGCTTTTGGCTTTATTCCCGGGAAAACACCCTCACACATATAATGGCAAGCTTGCCCGCTGTTTTGCATTTTAGTAAAATGAGGCCATGGCGTCTTTCAGCCAAATAATTACTTTGTTATTAATTTCAATGAATGTAGGATTTTCTGTCAAATGTGAATAAAAACTGAATACAATCCTTTGCAATTCGTTTACAAGTCACAGTATGTTCAATTGAATACACTACAAAGACACGATACTTAATGTCCAAACTGATGAACAGGATAGTTGTGTTTGTTTGTCTGCAAATATTTAGTCACTTCGCATTTGATGTCTGCAACACAATCCCAAAAATATGGGACAAGGGCATATTCTACCACTGTGTTACGTCACCTTTCCTTTTAACAACAGTCAAAAAACATTTGGGGGGTGATAGCGGTAATTGAGAACTTTTAGGTGGAATTCTTTCCGCTTCTTCAGCTGCTCAACAGTGTAATGCGCCAGACGTTTTTAATGGGTGACATGTCTGGACTGCTGGCAGGCCAGTCTCGTATTCAGACTCTTTTACCACAAAGCCACACTGTTGTATCACTTTGTCTTGCTGAAATAAGCAGGGATGTCCCTGAATTAATTTTTTTTTTTATAAGTATCATGTATGACGCTGCCAGTATTAATGGTGCTTTCACAGATGTGCAAGTTACCCATGCTATGGGCACCAACACACCAGTTACAAAGCATTACATTTACAATTGTAATAATTGTTGTTGCTAAGGGGCAGTAAAGTAAATAATAGAGGCCTGCGGATACTGGCGTCTGCTCTGCTTGTATGTGCTGATGCTCCATGTGTTTTAAAGTCGTGTTGTTTGAAGGATTATAATGAAATAACATGTTACTACTGTTAGCTCAACCATGGCATTTCACGATACTGTACTGCACTGTATATGCTAGCTATTAGATGGCAGACTTTCAATTAATGAAAATATCTGATTTAATTCAGCATTTTGGTGTGTAAATAACGTTGAATTCTCTTTTGTATGTATTAATAGAACAGTATTTACTCATTTGACGGTGACAACTCAACAGCTTGGAATACTTAGCACGCTTTGACTCTTGGGAGAACTGTGGGAGGGAGTATTTTCGTTTCTTCGAAGTGATGTTACGAGTCTCTCATTTCTTGACAGCAAGAGAGAGCGAGAACGTACTATGGAATATTTTAAAAGTCTGTTTTAATAAGTTGAACTGTGTTTTAATACGTTCGATTATATTTAGAGTCTGTGTGTGTTTGACTATCTCTATCTTTTTTTACCTATTGTGGTGCACCTGGCACATATCTCCCTGTCTGTATTTTAGTTTTGTTGCCCACCTATTTCGTAAAACCTGACACTAATTCTAATTGTAGACTTTTGTCCTTGTGAGAGACATCTTTCAAGCGTTCGCTACATTTAGTCACTCACATCTTTCAAATTGTTGTACCTGTAGGCCCACTCCACAAATACTCGCAAATGAACATTTTCTACATTGATCGAAGCCAAATTGACACTGCCGTACCTTGGAGATGATGAGCGGCTCACCGTGCTCCAGGCCACCCTGAAGCGTAAAGCCCCACGGTGCTCCACCCTGCAGCTGGGCCTCCACAAGCGACCACCCGCTTCTTCTTCCTCCGCCCGCCGCCTGCTGGAGCCCCGCCCGGCCACCGTCCATGCCCGTCAAGGAAGCGCTCCTATCAGGCTCACCGGTCCTCAGGCCGGCTGCGAGCGGGCGGACCGCGGGGGTGGCGGCGCACCGGGTTGACGAAAAGCGTCTGTCCTTCACGAGCACATGACCGTCGATCATTTACAACTCCCGGTCGAGGAAAAGCAAAGCAGGAGGTTCCCCGAGCACCGAGTTGCAAAGTGCACAGTGCATTCCTGAAGCGCGGAGAGTGGCGAAAGATCCGGCAAAAACAACACCGGGACGCTCACTGGCAAGACTTTGTAACAGTTTGGCAAAACCTTTGAAAGCTCACTGAATGGAGGAAGGGATCGCACTTCAAGATAAACGGAGGTCAGCTCGGGATTTGTCCAAACAGAAATTCAAGCCGCTCTTCCTCCCTCTCTCACTGCGTAGCTGTCTCTCTCTTCCGAAAGTTTAGCATCACAATAGAATTTGGTGCGACTCACTGAGCAAAGAGAAAAGGGAGGGGGGGGGCGAGAGAGAGAGAGAGAGAGAGAGAGAGAGAGAGAGATGAGAGAGAGAGAGAGAGAGAGAGAGAGAAGGGGAGGGGGACAATTGAATGAAAGGACAGCGAAAAGAATGACGTAAGGAGAAAAGTGGTTGGTTCTGACGTCTACAGTCTATGATTTAGATTGAAATCCACATCTATGAATGCACATCTGAACCCTTGCGCCATCCTCAGACATTTTATGTACAATTATTTATATATATATAAATATATATATACACACACACACACACACACACACACACACACACACATATATACACACATATATACACACACACACACAGGCAATACATGACTTTTGAAGCCGCAGTTGCTCACTTCAAACTTCACATTACAACGCTTGGGAGCGGAATAAAGCACACACCTGGCTACCATTTAGTCACTTTTCTGACTGATAACATTTGACAGCCTGCTCTAAACAAGATACTTATTATTATTGGACACCGAGTGGGGCTTTTGTCAACAGTTGCTCTTTGGTGCGTGAGGAATTCCTTCCTTCCAGCCTGGCTGAGAAATGCAACACAGTACAGTAGTACGTGCAAGTATCCCCATCTAGAGGCACAGAATGTTGTCTAACCTTCCCCAGTCATTGTGTTCTAATACAGTAATGTATTTAACTGATTCAGTTGTTTCCGTTCCTGAAACACATCCGAGTTTGGTAAGATGCGAATGGATGACAAGTTAAAAAGAAATTATAAAGAAATCAATAAATAGTCTCTGCAAGTGTCAGTGGTCCAAAGTAAAGGGTGAAAGAAAACCTTTCATATCAGGACAGAACATCTGAGGTGACTTTGAAACATGTGCCAAAGCAAACATGTCAGAAACCAACGGGCGACTGAAACAAATTATGAAAAAAATATGTTAGTCAAATCAAACATGAATGACTGAAAACTTTTTTTAAAAAGCCAATTTATGTTTTTATTCTTTACACAGCTATTAAAGATCTATTAAAAAAAAATCTAACGTTCCCGTCTCTAAAACGGAAAAATTGACTGCAAACATACAGATATAACACAGACAATCTAACGTTCCCGTCTCTAAAACGGAAAAATTGACTGCAAACATACAGATATAACCCACACATAATATGTCATACATATTTAATAGTATGTGTGTTGAGCCATTTAAGAAATATATTAACACTGTAGACATGGTTAACTTGGAGACATTTGTTATATAATCTTATTTTTTTCATTTTAGCCAGGCATTTCAATTGTTTCGATCTCAACAATTATGGCACTTCCAAACGTTACGATTTTGGAGTATTTCTGGACGTTGCCAGTTCCATATTGTTGCTGTTCTTACAGCATTTTGGCCGAAGCAAATGAAGTGGTGCGCACGGTCAATTAGCAGGCAACCATTTTCTTTCTTCATCTGAATATTTTTCGAGTGTACGGCATTCGTTTTAAAGTGCTCTAGAAATACAGTTGAGTTCAACATGCAGCTGTTAAATTACCTTCCAAAAGCTTTTTTTTTTTTTTTTTTGCACAGGAGATGCTCTTCTCCTGCTTGAGTGTAAATCATCACTGCAACATTGCGATGAGTCCGTGGCCGGCAGGATTGACGTTCAAAGCTTTCTTGGGCCACCTAAACGTCCTCTGACATGTTGTGGATGGTCTCAATAATCTTCATCTTCATTCGCTTGACTTTGTCCGGAGGAGCCTCATTCAGACATTCCTCCACATACTTCAGGAAGCCAGCATGCGGGGACGTGATCTGACTTTGATAGACTTTCTTCATGAAATCCAGCGCCTCGATGGCGGCAGGCGGCGCCGCCGGCTGTTGGTTTCCACGTTTGTGGCCCAACGCGCCGCCGTCGGGGTGAGATGAGCATGTTGAGGACGAAGACGAAGACATTGAGTGCCGGGCGTCCGGCGGGGGCGGCAAGGGCGGAGATTCAAGTGTCTTCGTTTGGTTCGGCACTCGATTGGCGGTTTGAGGTGAGTCGCGGCACCGCCGGGAGGGGGAGGTGAGAGGGGCTTGGTAGTCTGCAGGATGGAGGCTGTCGTCCGCGGCTTGGTGAAAGAGGACATCGTCGGGCTGCTGCTCTTCGTCACAAGAGTCGCAGAGGAACATCAGCTCTCTGTAGTGTTTCCACTTGGGCACATAAAAGTCTTCCGAACCGCAGGTTTTGTTAGCGTTCACCGCCTTATGTTCACGTTGGAAGATGGTCCGCAGGTTCCGAAACTTTGTTTTTATGTCTTTCACTGTTGAAAGAATAACAAATCACATTGCTCATGTTAGAAAAATCCAAATGACTTTTCCTGGAAGATCTCAATCAACAATTTCAGGAATTAAGAACACGCTAAAGGTGTCACAAAAGTCACCAACCAACGGGACGGCGGCAAACCTTGCTTTCGCACATCTTGTGAAACTTACCACAGATGGCAAAGAAAATGATGACAATGACGACATCGCAGAAAATTTAAGGTCAGTAGCACGGTGATAAAAATGGTTGATGCTCCTCTCGAATGCTACCTGCGAAGGGGAGCGGTTCATTGCTGGAGAGTAAGACGCTCAACGTCTCCAACAGACTCTGTCTGGTGGCCTTGTTCTTGTACCTCTCTGACTTGTAGTTCCACAAACAGTCGTGCTCTGGGGATGAGGCAAAAACAAACGAGAACTTGAGAAATGATTGAGATCGATACAAAAAATGTCCCCGGCTATAAATCCGACATTTGATCAAATATATTGTGAGGAATGTGAAGAATTCATGACTTCAAGAATCAATGACGTCTTCCATTGCGATGTACATACCGGAGTAAAACGATATGAGCTGGTGAACTTTGCTCTCATTCCAGCGGCAGCGGGAGTCAGAGATGGGCCCACATTCGAGTTGAACTGGACTGGATTTTCTTGGGGGAGGGTTTGCACAAGGTTTGCCATCCGGTGGTGAACCGGATCGCGAAGCAGTTTTCGGGTCCTGCGCTTTAGCGTAATCTGAAGCGGCCGTGAAAATGTGGAAGCCAGCGGACGTATCGGTGTCGGCGTCCGTCTGTTTAATGTTGGAGGAAGCGGATGCGTTGCTGAAGCCGGCATTGTTGGTTTGGGTGGAGCACGAGGAGCTGCTCGGGGCGGACGACGCCGATTGGCGCCCGAGCTCCAGCGCTTCCCGGGGCGTCGGCTCCCGCGGGTTGTCCGGGCTCTCTTCATCTTTCCACCACTCGCAGAGGAAGAGCAGGCGCTGGTAATGCTTCCATTTGGAGTGGTAGCGCTTATCAGAGGTCCTGCTCACTTGGACCACTTTGTATTCGCGGTTAAAAACTGTCCGAAGATTCTTGAACTTGCACTTTATGTCTTCAACTGCAAGACAGTAGAGAAGTAAAACGAACTTGGTGAGCACTTCGGCCTCACAGTTGAGGGATCCGGAGTTGGACTCCGGCTCCGGCCTTCTATTGGCTGTGGCTTGGTTTCTGCGTTTTGGTTTTGATCCTTACATCATCTTCTTGACACAGGAAGTAGGTTTATAGAGTCCTACCTCTTTTCAGCAAGATACTTACTCGAGAAGGTGGAAGAGTGGTCGGACAACCGTCTCCTCAGAATCTTCAGGAGTTTCAGTCGGAGCGGACGATTGTTATGGTTTTTCGACGACTTGTTCCACAGGCAGCTGTGTTCTGCGTATATACACACACACACACACACACACACACACACACACACACACACACACACACACACACACACACATAGCGTTGGTATTAGTGAATTAGACGAGGCTCATTTGCAATAAGGTGGGCAATTTCTCTCTCAGGTGTTGTGTAATGAGTTGACTTACCTGCGTAGAAATCAATAAGTGCACGTTCTTTCTCTTCTGTCCAAAAGGATTTCGCTACCATGTTGGAGAGGATGTAGGATGGCGAGGAGGCGGTGGTTGTGGGGGAGGATTCCGGAGGAAGGATGGAGATGATGAGTCCCGGGGAGGTGAGAACATGTTCGCTCTCCTCCTGTGAAACAATTAATGAGGACCGCAGAGGGGCATTCTTGCAGTCATCCAGGCCTGCCGCCTGCAGGAACATCAGCTGCTGATAGTACTTCCACTGCGGTACAAACACATCTGGACCGCACACCTCACTCGCCTTCACCGCTTTGTGCTGCCTTTGAAAGGTGGTACGAAGGTTCTTGAACTTGCTCTTGATGTCTTCCACTGGAGATGGAAAAAAGATCAGTGTAAGATTGGGGGAGGGGGGAGGTTTAGGTGCGTGGTGGGGTCTGTTTCGGTTCTGCAGAGTGAAGTTTCATCGCCAGATTAATATATGCAGTAATGCACAGGCTACAACTCAGGGCAACTTGATTGCACGCTCACTTGTGAGGATAAGTGGTTCTGAAAATGGAGGGCTGGATAACAAGCACTACACTGTGTCCTACACTGTGTCCTACTGCCATAATCGTCATTAATACTTGGTGGAATACAAACGGTCACGCCGTCACAGCTTCTTGCAATGTAGTGAGTGATATTTTTCTAGAGTTTTAACACATACCTGTGAAAGGAGCTGGTGGGGGTTGGGCGGACAGAAGAATTCTCAAATGTTCCAGCATTTTCCATCTCAGCGGTCGATTTTTGTAGCTTTCTAATTTATGGTTCCACAGGCAACTGTTCTCTAAAAAAAAAATTTTTTTTTTTGAAAGATAATACATTTTGGTCTCACTCGTGATAATCTTCACAAATACAGAACCTAACTTTTTGTAACCTCAAGTACCAAATTACGGTTGAAGGAGATGTACTATGAACGATCTCTGTCCACAGTAATATATTGTAAAAAAAAAAAATAAAAAATTCACTTTCAAGAGAGGAAGTCGCCTCCTTTAGTTAAATACATTTATAAAAGTACTGTAGTTATACACCACTAAAACATTTTTGCAACATTTGCTGCCTTTTTCTCATTACAATTTTCAGATTTGTACGCAAACCTAAAATATGTCAGCCATTTCTACTAAACACCCTTTATTTTTTTAATTCAGAGGATTGAAAAGTGTGTTTTCACGACTGCAACGTCTTCTGACCCCAGCGCGTTTTGGCTGCTTAATTATCTGCCCGGAGTTGCTGGTCGCCATTGCTGTGATCAGTCAGTTGCTCATTTCAGACGCAACAGTCGGTCGAAACGAGCAACGGTTGCCCAAATAATGTCCAACACAACTGTAACATCGCGACATTCGCAACGCACTCCAAACTTTGACAAAAGGGTTCTTTGTAAAGTATTAGATTTTGAAATCGTGGCGATGTTTACTCACTGGAAAAGAATGAAATGAGTGTCCTTTCTTTCTCCTCTGTCCAGTATCTCTCCGGCATGAAGCTGATTGGCGAGTCCTCCATATTCGTTGTTGCCGTTTGGTCCCCTTCCTTCCTGACGTATGCTCACGTGATCGACAATCCAGGCTCTGATTGGACGCCAGTTACACGAGGTTTACATAGTATTGCCCGTTGCCCAGGAGAGGGCGCTGTTTGACAGTTACACACTAGAATTTGGCAACTCCATTTCTTTTGATATAAGATCATCTTTATTCGTCCAGTGTTTTGGAAATGTTTAGAACTAAAATAAGCATGACTAATAAATCATCAAGTTGTATTACTCAGGTTTTTAATCTTATTTAGAGTTTGTCCATTTATAGTTACTTGAGCGAGAGAGAGAGAGAGAGAGAGAGAGAGAGGCTATTTTTCTGCACAAAATCAGAATTATGAATGTTTATGCAGAGGTTGGTCATAAGTGATAAAGACTTAAGAGTTCCCGTGACTATATTTGCCCTAGAAAATAGATTAGAAATATAAACAGATAATAATGAATGAATGAATAAACAGTATCATAATAATTTAATAGTAGTAACAAATACAAAAAGAAACAGAGGCAAAAATAGCAGTTTCAATGATAAAGAGGGGCTTTTTATTTTATTTTTTTTCCCCAGCGTTTCAATTCCCTGGCAATGCCCTTGCATGTGTAAACTCCTGAATAGAAATCCGTCAAACGGTCAATTACATCCGTTATGACACAAAAGCACAAACACAACAAGCTCAGACGTTCTCATTTAAGATGGTGTCAAATTATGTTTTAATTATCACGTGATCAACAATATGGCTGAACACATTCAGAACACACATTTTATTTACAGTGAATTCCATGTACAGTTAATCACAAACATTTAAATCCATGTACAGTATTTCAGTGTTGGGACACTTTGACCGCTGAAGAACTCTCATTAAAGTGGTTAACAATCAAATGACACGGTGTAGATTTGCATCGATACTTGTGATATGAGTTTGGAAATTTTGAGAAAAACAAAAAAACAAAAACATAAACAACAATTTTTGGATGCCACGCTGTATGTATGATATGCTGAAATATTGTTGTCTTGGTGGCAGTTTATTCCAATTGTAAAGTGAGTGTCTTTCAAAGCGTGTTGATGGTGAAAACATGACTATTTTAGTATGAGCCAGTTGAGTATTGACTCAATGAGTTCTGGGAAACGCCCCCCCCCCCACCCCTGCTCAAATATTAGTTTCTTAACTAAAAATCCTGTCTTCAAATTATGGATTTCCGATAATATTGTTCATCTCTCAGCGTGCCAGAGTTTAGTCCCCGTTCATATTGTGTCAGTGAGTTACACAGGACACCAAATCCTCATCATAACAATTTCAACGACCCAATCATTCGCATGTTCAGTTACAATTTTCGGTCGTAAAGCAAACATTTCTGTACACTGTGCCTCTTATCTACAGTTAAACTCTTGGACATTCCTTGGTCAGTCTTTTCTCTAGTTTTCATCAAGTACAAACATGATACCAACCTTGCATTGTAAAGATGCACTCAGTTGCAAAGTGACAAAGACATTGCTTCTGTGCAAAACAAATTGATGGTTGTGTGGTGAGTAAAAAGGAAGAAGTGGGAGCACATTCACCGATGATGACAAAATTGGTGCAATGTTGAGAATACATATTTGGAACAAGGTATATATTTAATGAGTCGGCGTCTCACGTTCAGAATATGCCATCTTATATTGAACTAGCACCAGAATGTATGCAAAAATAATGTTACGGTCCTTTTCAAATACTCAAAAGTACTTTCAGATTTCAATTTTAAATATATTCTAAAACAGATCTAATAAGTAATGAGTAAACAGGTTGAGTGTGGTCTGAGGTAGTGTCCCCAACATGGAAACGGACTTCAAGGACAAGCAGACGCTCTGTGATTTCCCAAATGAAAATTTTGTTACCTTTTCAATATTTTCTACCCTCCAGACATGTGCCGTATGGTCGATTAAAAAAAATGCGAGCCATCTCGTCGGGATGCCTCCTGGACGTGTTCCATGGGAGGACAACCAGGAGGAGATGGCGGGGAATCCAGGACATGCTGGAGAGAGAGTGTCTCTCAGCTGCCCTGGAAGAGATGGACCAAGTGGATGGGGACAAGGAAGTTTGAGCTTCAGTGCTTAGGCAGCTGCCCCGTTGACCCAAAGCTCAGACCAGGGGAAGAAGATGAAAGGATGGATTGATGGAATGGAAAATGCAAGATTTTATGATTTGGCTCAATCACCTTCCGGTATATTATAGCTTCTCGTGTCTTGTTTTTTCCTTACCGAGTAGAAATTTACAAATCAACACCAAAACTTTAGCAGCTTTAAATATGTTGCAGACATACAGTTCCCATTAAAAAAAAAAAAGACTAGCATCGGTATAATTCAGCTTTAAAAAGATACAGCTGAATATGATAATTTCCCCCCCCCAAAAAAAAAAAAAATCTTCTACTATAAGCATCAAGATAAACAACAATCATCCCACCCTAAAAATCACCAGAAACGTGACTAAAATATCGACGTTTCCCCTTTCAATCGAATCAAATGCTGGTGTCCTTATCAGCGCGGTCCATTTTGGTCACAACCTCCTTTTCTCAACCAAACACTTGATTTCGGTGAAACGCCAGCTTCGCGCGTGCGGAGCACTTTTGCACCCGCCGCTCTGTGAAAGCAACCGCTGGTTCTGCCGCTCAGCGAGCGGCGAAATGCTGTTCCGAGCCCTCTGGCGAAGCATCAATGCGTCTTACTGTCAAACGTCAGACAATACGAGGTACTGTACTTTTACTCACCCGACAGCAATGGAAACGTGTTCTTCTTTTAAACAAAATGCCAATCGACCAAATGACAACGTTTAGTCCCACACGCGGTGGTCTTTCCCCTGGTCCGTCAAACAATACTGTCCTGCAGCAGGGGCTCAAAATCTTCATCGCTGGTGGCGGCGGGAGTTTCTTCGTCGCTGCCTGGGAGAGGTGTGTTAATATGGATGCCCGCCAGCGAGGACAGCGACTCTTTGCTCGCTGGCCGCGGCTTGTCACTCAGCGGCAGCTGAGATGACGAAGAGGCGGAGGAGGGCTTCTCCGGGATGAAGAGAGCAACGAGGAAGGCGACGACCACCGTACATGCCCCCAAAAGGAAAGGTGGGCCGGGGATGAGCGTTTGCTAAAAGAAACAGGAAAAAAAAAATGTTTTAAAATGACTTCCCATAACTCGAACCCCATTGCGCCCTTTGGTGCTGTAAATCCTTGTTGTGACGTCAGGTAGTCAAATACTCGCGTCAAGAGTGTCATAACTTTTTTAGTGACTAAAATTTTCAAGATTTTCAACTCGTCTGCGAATACCGGAATGCCCTTTGCGGTCGCGGGTGCCTTTCATTTCTTTGAGTGCTTGTACCTCAGTGGGACTGTGAAGAGGCAAGGGGTCAAAGTCTCCCTGGATGGGGTCCATGGTGTTCAGCTCCACATTGAAGAGGAAGAAGATGAATCCATACAGCGCTGGACCTAAACCATTGCACAGACCTCTGATCCCCGTGATCATTCCCTGAGCCACACCTGCGCGCACAGACAAACTCGGGTCAATCTTTCAGGCGACTTAGTTGGTCATCAAGCTGCTCAGAACAGATTGCCGCAATGCAACTCTCAACACTGTCGAGGACATGATGAAACCCGTCGCCGATCTCGGTACTGGCACAGTGACCCGCGGCCGTGAGGGCGATGACATCACTGCAGAAAAAGGCGAGAAAGTCTCGTTGTCACCTTGTTTATCAGGATCGGCAGACTGCGACACCAGAGCTGAGACCGCAGGGAAGGTGATGGAGGACATGGCGGCGACGGCGCCGGCTGCCCACATCATCCTGTTCACATAAACACACAAACACAATGCATGCATCATAAAAAAAACATGATTTGCGAAAGGAGGGGAGGGGAAGGCTGAAGCATTCCGAACAGACCATCCGAACAGACAAAAAAAAAAAAAAAAAAAGACTAAAACTCGAAGGAGGTCAGCAGCCAAGGCTTGCGAGTGTTCGCGAACATTGTTTTTTTTTTTCTTCAGAGTTAGTTAAGGGTTGCAAAGACGCTTTTGCAAGACATTCGGTTTTAAGGCTTGCCACCAGTTTTTCCCACCATCATCAAATTTTAAACATGTTCAACATTTCTTTGCAACGAGCAAAACTGTTGGTGTGACTGTTAAAACCGATGGCCAAGTCGTGGCGAAAACCCAACAATCGGGCCAGGCGCAATTTTTGGCTACTAAGTGAGACAAGGGGGCTTGATTAATTGACAAATCTCACCAAGGCTCGGATCCAAAGCCATACCAGGCCAGCTGAAGAATCTGGAAGCCCAGACCCAACAGAACTGTGTTTTTATTACCCAGAGTCCGCATCAGCAGTGTGAGTACAAGCGTCTAAAGAGGGAAAACAAAGAGACCAGTTGAGATCTGGATGCATATTCAATGGCTACATAAGAGGGAAAAAAAGCTATTATTATTGTTACTATTCACAATTGTAAATAAGTGTAAGTTAACCAGATCCTGAATAAACGTCACCGTCGGATTCTTTATGCCTTGCACAAAATAATGTGAACATGATTCTGCTTATGTTGTCTGTTTCTCAGTGGTAATTAAACTCACTGGTCAATTTTTGAAAGGCAGTCTGTTGAGGGGCTGGAAAAAAAAAAACAATAAGCCCTGTTTTTTATTAGTGTCGCCCAGCCCTGCTACCAAGTACGATGACGACGACCACCAACCACAAAAAAGTATACAGTATTAAAGTGTTGTATGACGAGTTGATCCTTATTTCCATTCATGAGCTGTAATGCAAATATCTTCTTGAGTGTTTGTGTTACCTGTGCCACAATGGACAGGATTCCGACAACTCCAATAAAAACAGCAATTGTTGTCGAGGAGAAATTGACGACCTGCAGGGATTTTACAAAAGTATCGGTGTATTCAACATGCTGATGGAATATTGGCAAGACTTACAACAAAAATGTGTCCAGAAAAAAAAATTGTTTTAGTGTGTGGGCGGTTACCTGTCGCAGGTAGAGGAAGAAGCTGGAGTACTGTCCCGCCTCTGGTAAGTATGACAGGAACACCGTGATACAAATGAGTAGGACTGTGGGGTCCTGACCCACCTTCCTCAGAGACTGATGGAGACAGAAAAAAGAAGAGTTGAAAGGCGGGAAATACAACACCCAAACAGTTAAAGGGGAAGTCAACTCAAAAATGTTCTTTATCATGAATACGTTGTCTTGTGGAGTACGAATTAAGTAGCAAAATGCACCGGTTTTTATCCAGCTGAGGGGGCGGCCATTTGCCACTTGCTGTCTACTGAAAATGACATCACCATTTTCTCAGCTTGGTCATGTGACATTCGCAATCTGAACCGCGATTGGTCGTTTCCTGAGCCTTGAGAAACTGTGATGTCATTTCCGCCTGTATCATTGAGCTAGGCGCCGCCCCCTTCATCGAGGATCGCACCCCGGAAGCGATACGGAGACGGACCGGAGCCGGCGGGAAAGTGAGAGACAGAGCCAAATAGGACAGGAAATGTTCATCGTTCCTTGTATTGACAATGATGGGGAATGTGAAGTAACTCGCCAACAAAACAAACGTTCTAAGTGTTAGAAAACGGCGGGTTGTTATCCGACCATCCAACGCAAGTGACGATATTCCCATTTCAGCATGCCGGCAGCCTCAATCTGGTCAATGGGGACGTCACTCATCTTCCTCTGGCTCATCAACTAACAAGTCCACACAACCGGTTGAGGGTGTTGTCGCCCTCCTCCTGAACCGAAGCCAGCCGGGGTAGGTTCCACCACGGACGCCCCCCTCGTGACGATAAGCGGCTTGGATCATGGATGGATGGAGAGTTCCGGCACTTACAGCGAAGGGATCGGCTTGCTCCCAGGATATGGGCGCCCCCCAGGTGTTGAGCCTCATCTTGTCCGGCAGAGACTCGGGCACGGCGAGCAGGATGAAGCAGATGTCCACCAGGGCGATCAGCGTAGCGACCAGAACCACCAGGTTGTCTCCATACCATGCGGACAAATACGCCCCGATGGCCGGGCTGGTCACCAGGCTGGCGGCGAACGTGGCAGACACCTGCCACCAATGGAGGAGAGGAGGACGGGAAACGCCATTTTCAAGGTTGACAAATTGCAGCGATGAATCATTTCGCACAACACGCTGACGTTTCATGTGTGTCAATTTGAATGACAACCTGCCTGACATAATGCAAGGCGACACGCACCTCGCTGTTTTGTTTAGTTTTTTTTTAACGTGGCATTTAATGCAAAAGCCACCCGTTCTTAAAGTAACACTACAGTTGGGAAAGATCCCATAAGTCCTGTTTTCCAGTCACAGCGATGAATGAAAAAGACGGCGGTTAGCATGCGTTTGTCAACAAAATACACTAAATAAAAGGGAGAGGACAATGAAATGCCAGTGCTTACCAGACCATAAGCTGTACTCCTCTCCCTTTCATCTGTCACATCTGCAACGTAGGCAAAGATGACAGAGAAGGTGACCGAGAACGCTCCTGACATGGAGATCATGGCGAAGTACCACCTGGAAAAGGACGAGGAAAGAAGTCTCTTCAACACGCGGTTACGAGTGACATCGCAGAGACATTTGTGAAAAAAGCCACAAGTAAGACAGTCGACCCTCGTTCCAACGTACCTCGAGGGAACCGAAGCAATCTGCACATTATCACAGTAGTTCATTGTAACCATTTCCAATAAAATGGCCGTACATTTTGTTCCTAAGTAAGATCGCGTCTTGCAATTTGCTTCCCACATTTTGTCATAACAAAGGCCCTTTCGCTATTTTGTGGGGAAAATCTAGTCGTTATAACGAAGTCGACGCCGTAAAGTTGTTTGTTGTCAGCAAAATCGGCAAATGGAAAGTGAATGATGTGAAATCGGAACTTGGAACCTGTTAAGTGCCTTGCGATGGGTCTAACTATGAAGCTGGGTGGGTTGCGTTGAAGAAAAAAAACGAAAAAAAAAAAACAAATGCAAGTATGCTTGAAATCGTTTGAGCTCCAAGTATTACTCAAAAGATGGTTGGCCAAGTTTACCTAACGCTTGACCTTTAATAGAAGCGGCGACAAGTTGGCCACACGCTTGTAGTGATGCAATGATCAGTGCTGCTTGTTGATTGCTTAAACACGCAACACAGGCTCTATAAAAACCACGTCATAAATGTGACTTAGAGCGTTAAGAGAAATGTATATACAGCAGACCAAAGGAGTCAGTGCAATGTGCAGACAGTAATGGAGCCATTGCAATTATGCAAGGTGACCAGACAGTGACCTACCAGGGGCTGAGTCTCATGAGGGGGATTGGGGCGCAGGTGAAGAAGACGGTGACCAAAAGGAATGAGCGCCTCCCCCACACGTCCGACAACGCACCAATCAGAGGGGCAGACATGAACGACAGAAGACCCTTGAGAGGAAGAGGAAGAGTCAGTGACAGCAAAGGTCATCACAACAGTAGATGATCAACTGCCCGATCTCTGGTTAAAAAAATGGTCACAAACGGTCTGACCAAAACTGGTCATTTGTGTTACATTCTGTCTTAGGGTGTGCAAATTAACTCGAACGGAAAGCTAGCAACATGACACAATAACCGACGAGAGACTTTCATTATGTGAGTCATTTACAATTTGCAGTAACCTGGGTCGTTTTTTTTTTTAAATTCCAAGCCAATGATTTGCAAAGTTGACATTCAGAACCGACTGATTGATATTTATTGAGTGTTGAAGAGCAGAACCTTTTTTTTTTAAAACACATTTTTACCTTCACTCCTTGAATGAGTCCATTCATCAGGAACGTGTGCTGCGGAAACGTTTCATGTAACACCTACGCAGAAAGACATTGACATTCACAAAGTCATTTCGTAAGTTACTAAAATAAACAAAAGCACTATCCTCCCGTTGTTACTTAAAAAAAAAAAAAAAAAAAAAAGCTCCAACCCCATCATTCGAATGATGTCAATGCTTAAGCGATCGAGGTTTAAATGGCTCTGAGGACTCACACTGCGACCTACTCCAAAGCAAAGTGCTATTCTCGACAGCGGTTCATAAAACGGGCCACAGATGCCGTCACTGAGAAGTGGCGAGGAGTCCCTACGCCGCCGCGATGTCACAAATCTGTGATGGAATCTTCCGCCTCAGACACAACCCCGTTGCCGTTACTCACCGTGAGCATGGGTGTGGTCAGCAAACCCCAGGCGAAGAACTCCAGGAAGATGACCACAACGGCATGGTACACGCTGGGGCGGCCTATGCCCTGCTGAAGCTGACACACACACACACACACACACACACACACACACACACACACACGCACACACACAAATAACTAAATTGAGTCAACAGACAGAAAACAAATTTCAGCAGATGTCTTTTTCTCTGCCATTCTGCTTTTGTTTTGTTTTTACTTTATTACAAAGCATTTCAGGTTTAGGGGTTCAAATTATACATTTTATAAAAATCTTGAAATAAAATGACTGATCTGGGGGAAAAAAACGAAAAAAGATATAGATATTATTGCACTTAGGGCACACTCGGTAATTCTTTGGATGATACCGAGGCTCTTTTTTAAAGCAAAACCTCATCAAACGTTAAAGCACAAAATCTTTTCAACAGCAATTGACAATGATTTGTGTGCTGTTATGGATCATCAGGTGTGCTGCTGGAAAGGATACAATTTCACTTAATCAGTCAGAAAAATAGTTTTACCCCTACAAATAATGTATCTTTGTTCTTCTGTCGATGCTCGTGGCATGCAGCAATTAAATGATGTCACATTTTCTTATCAAACCAGCTGAATACAAAATTCGATACAATCAGACAAAAGGGGCACGTCAAATTCAAAAACGACGTCTCAAATGATCAGCAAGAAAACGTTTGCGACCATGCAACGATGCGACCAGTGTCGATAGATTCCAGTGCGGCGATGTTAAAATGGACGCTTGAGCATCGAGAGGGTGCAGACAGTGCAGACTGCCACAGGACGCCGTGTGTGCCAGGCAGTGCGGTTATGTAACAGATAATGGCTCCATCCCGAGCACATCACCACTGCTCTGTTCTCAGCCGACTGATCGATCACAAAAACCCCACAATGTGGGCCTCCTTATCCGCTTTCGTTTTATAACGACAATTAAATTGCCTGACGTCATTTTGCATTCGAACACACGTTCGGAACCTCGAATGGAGCGTGCTTATATGAGTCAGGTGGTGTTTTTTTTTTTTTTTTTACAATGAAAAGGGAATTTCAGAAATGAAATCATTACATTATTACAAATCAATCTAGAGACGCGAATGTTAACCGGTGATCCCTTTTCACCCCAAATCGTTACATTTACAATATAACACGTGCAGGGTGAAATAAGGACATTATTGATCGTCATGTTGATGCAAAATGATATAAACAGGTCGTGTCATCTACCCACCGCGGCTCCGTCCTTCATGATGATCTTCTTGACAAGAAGCACTCGGCCGGTGCCCGCCGGCGGTTCCCCCGCCATCTCTTCACACTTGCCGCCGGTGACGAAGCATCCTCGCCGCGTTGATATCCGCGGTTCTTCCAGGATGTCACCTTAAAATGTGCCCCGAGGAGGCGAGACCGAGCGAAGGGTTTAATAACCGGAGGCAAGCAAAAATAAAATAATCTCCACAACGTCTCAGTGTGGGTAGTTACTCCATCAGATTAGATCGGTCAGCACTCAGCAGTTCACTACATTGAGAGTGGTGCATTCACTCACACCATCAAGTTGGTCAGAAGGAGCACAAGACTTCCGGTTTGTTTGTTTTTTGTTTAATTTGCGCTCAAAAGAAAAAACGGTTCTCATCTTTGCGTTATGTGTTGATTGCAGTTGTATTGTACGCGAACCCGTGTTACACATCGCGTAAAACACATGACCTGGTAACATGTCAAACTGGGTTAAATATGTAAATAACATTGATTAAATAAAGGCGACTCTGTGTCAATCATTTACTCATTTAGTAAACACAGTAAAGTGATATCACTGAATGCATGCTGTTTGTTAAGATTCTAGTTTAAAATGGAAGACTGACATCGATCGTGGACCATCGATTCGCGTCAGTGCATTTGGTGGTTTGTCTGTTACTTTGAAAGGAAACGTGTATTCCGGTTGGTACGGCAGTAACAGACGAAAACGTACAGGGTTCCTTTAATCTGATCACGTGTAAATGGCTGTGGTGGTGCCTGCGAATATGTGTGCGTGTGTTTGTGTGTACCTACCAGGATTTGCAAGAGATGCCGGCCACACGTCGTTCTCAAAATGAAGCATGTAACCGATGAAAAAGTCCTTGAAAATAATCTGAAGAAAATAGTGGGAAACGTGCTAACAACAGACATGCTAATCCAACATACATGTAAACACAAATGTTAAATGATAGAATTTACCTGAATGTTGTATTTTAGAGGATTCAATGTATGTAATAAAACTGACAGTATTTACTCTTGGGCTCCCGCACACACCCGCGACCCTGGGATATGCGTTACGGAAAATGGACGGATAGATATTTACTTTTACTGATTTTCATTTCATTATTAGCCTATTTAGTCATCCATAACAATTGTGGGAATGAAAAATTGCCACAAAGAGAAATTAGTGAAATGCATAAAAGTAACCACCAGCGCGCATGTAGTTATTGTAATGCCAATGTTTTGTTGTGGTTGAACGACAGCAGATTCATGTTTCGGGTTTCAATAACGTTTGATAATAGTTATAAATAATTAACTAACGGAAATATTATTGTTTAAAGGGTAGTCTTCCTTTCGTGCCGTATGTCACTCTCTCTAGCATTCAGACGCTCTCCTCCTCCTTTCTCCGCATTCTACAGAAGGTTGGAACACAATTAAGCAAGGAGAAAAGCGTTATGCGCCACGCTCTTCTTCCAGCTTGCACTATTTGGCAGAGCTCGGCCAGGGTGGGGGAGAGAAAGTGAAATGGTGAAGCCGCAACTCTACGGCCGGAACAGAGTCTGTACAGAAAAGTAAGAGCTAACGTTGTGGCGACATTCCCATTACTCAGCTCGTTCATTTTAGATTTCAAGCTAGATTGTGCCTCCCCAAATAGTAAAGAATATAAATTCATCGAGAGAGAGAGAGAGAGAGAGAGAGAGAGAACGCATGCTATGGCTATCACTGTGTGCTTAGTCAAGAATTACCTTGAGCAGATATTTTGCTTTTCAATCAAGAAATCAATCAATCAACATCATTCTGTATTTTTACATCATCTCAGAGGTTTTCAAAAATAACAACCCTGTTGACATTGTAAGCAGTAGAAAGTACAAAAATCTACTTTCAAAGAGTCATCAGACAAATAAATATTCAAAGAGCAGATACAATACCTGAAAAATCAATGTGAGTAGTTGACGGGGTTGGCACCCACAATTGACGAGCTCTATTTCTCTCACGAATTTGGTGGATGGAAACTAAATACCACCAAATGTGTGTCAGTGAAACAGAAGATTCTTCTAGTTCAATGTTCAATTTCATAAACGACATCACACTATTTTATTTTGAAATGCTTTCGCGGAACTGCCACACTTGTGTGGAGTTGTTTTAACTTTCCATGGCGAGATGGCCGTGCAGTAGCTGCGCGTTCCCGAGAATTCGGAACGGGTTCCGTAGACGGTCAGCCGAAGGCGAGACAACTCACCGCAGTCCTATTCCGGACCCACTGATACAAAATAAGAACGGTAAGAACGAGGCGAACGCGCACCTGGCGCTCAGACAGCGTGTCAAGCTGCGGGTAAACCGCCCAAAACAAAAACACTGTGCGTTCGTTTTGGCATGGGGCGTCCTCGCGCAGTCGGTTGGTGTGGCGGCTGGCGGGGGAGGGGCCGCGGGCAGCAGCAGCAGCAGCAGCAGCAGCCGCAGACAGCCTGAGCTCGATCTCCGTCTGCTGCTTTCTTTCTTCCCGCAGTATTTATGTCTTTCCTCTTTTGGACAATCCCTCTGTCCTGCCAGCCCATTCACACCCCCGTTATCTTCCTGGTGTATGCGTGTCGAAACAATCGAGAGTAAATCAAGCGAGCAACATGGCTGACGCTGGCCCTGCAGAACCTGCTTGCTCGTTTCTCAGTCACTGGGGATGATGTCTGTATAGTTCACATTTTCTCGGCCTTATAGCTTTGCATTGGTCAAACAGTACTAGCAACCTTATTTCACCAAGCAAATAGAAAAGAATACAGACATTTGTCACACAACACACAATGTTTACTGCATGGGCATTATCTTTTTGTCTGAGCATAACGTGCTGTTGTATTTTGTTTTTGCTCAATGCATTGCAAACCTCCAATGGTGTTTGCTACGTTTGCCCCGAGCCACCTTTGTAATTAAGGGTCAACTTGAAGTTGAGATTCTGAAGGTAAAGCTGTCCTGTGAGCAAACCGGTAATAAAGGATCTATGCAGCAATTTGCCACATCCATTTACCGTATTGCAAGTCTCAAGGCACTTTTAGTTTTGAAATGGTCTCCATCAATCTGAAGAGAAGCTTCTGTTTCATCATTTTTCATGATTGTTATGTTCCTGGTCGTTGTCATACTCATACTCTTCAGCAAGGTCATAACAAAGAAATGCAGCAGCTATTGGAAACACAGAATGCAGAATTTGTGTGTTTTAATTGAAGTTGACAAAATATGACCAGTATCCGATCAAAAGGAACAGGAAAGCTTTTCGAGGCATCAGTCGGACTTTGGATGTCACAGTCAGAGAACCCCGAGGAGCCACAATGACCTCAGTTCTTCATAGGTCTCTTGAAAATCATTTTGAAGACGTTTGTCGAAGGCCAAACCGTTCACGGAGCGAGATTCCGAATCAGGATTTGGAGTATTTGTGAGCGTTGTCTAACGTTGTGAACTGTGTAACTCGACTTGATTTGCAGATAACATAACTCGTGAGTTACAGTGGATCTTCTGAAGTCAAACACAATCCATTTTGTCAGACAGCTTGACTTTTAGGTCTTTGTTCTAATTGCAAAAGACCTTCCCCCCTGCAGGAAGTGAATGCATTTATTGTAATCAAGGCTGTAACTGTCATCTTTATAAAGTCTTTAATTTCTACACAGGAAAGGTTTTAAGTAACATTGTAGCATTCCTTCGTGTGGTCCAAGTGGGAGAGAAGGTGCCCAACGCATTTGGAAACCGAAACGGGCTTCACCCCGTCAGCCATGCCACGGAGCGGGGAACACGATCGTGTTTTCAGAGTGATACTGTCACCTTGTGGCGTTTTACGGACACTGCTGAATTGGAATTGCTGGATGCTGAGCATTGGCTTGTTCCAAGTAAAGAGTCAATGTAATTCAATTCATTAATTGCATTGCTCATATTGTACTGAGCGCGCACACAGAGAGAGCAAGAGCCCCCCCGTTCGGAACTTGAAACGTTCATAGATCAATTTCCTATTGAAATGAATGGAAACGTAATTAATCCGTTCCAGCCCCAAAATTAAGTTCCTTTTTTTTGGTCATATCATTTGCTAACACTGATTCCTTTCTGTGTGTGGAATCACAAAAAAAAAAAAAAAAAAAGCCCATTTAATGTGCAAAAGTTACTTTGTGCGGCATCCAACTTAGTGAGGATTGTTCATCGTTCTTCTGCAACCTCGACTTTACTGAAAACACATCCTAACTCTCGATTTTAGCAAGCATCACGGAAGTTGACATGTTTGATTGGCTTTCGCGGACCAGGTCTGACCCCCGGGCCTTGAGTTTGACACCTGTCACATCTGAAACCTACAGTTTAATGATTGAGGTTTGCTCGCTGGTCGAATTCCTCCCCCCCAGCTCCCCTTTCTGGTTTCACTGCTGCACAAGATGACATTGAGCCGTTTCAGTCCAGAACAACGACAACAGATGACTAATCACACGTTGCCCGGGGCAACAAGACAGGAGCGAAATCACCACCGACAGGAGCGAAATCACCACCAGCCGCAGTCAAACACTGCAAAACGTCTCCTGTGTTTCTCGAAGGTTGGTTGCCTCTGCAGGTAACGAGCTGGGATAAGCATGTTTCTGTGCTGCTTCTGACAAGTTTCCGCTTTAACAACAGCTACCGCTGTCGTCGCATTCATGCATCAAGAATCTTAAGGAAACCATGTCACTCTGTTCAAAGTTGGATCCTGTTTTTGTTTTTCCCGTCCAAATTTGGCACAACACTATAAGCCGTACTTCTCGTGGCCCGTTTCCACAGCATTTGGTCTTATTGTCCAATTTCTGTTGCGATCAAAATCTGGTTTACGGGCTGGGGCTGTTATTTCATGTCACAGGTCTGGTCCGGATTTACTGTATGTGCAGCCCGAGAACAGCCGGCATCGTGGACACCCGGAACAGGACTTAACAATGTTTACTGCATGGGCATTATCTTTTTGTCTGAGCATAACGTGCTGTTGTATTTTGTTTTTGCTCAATGCATTGCAAACCTCCAATGGTGTTTGCTACGTTTGCCCCGAGCCACCTTTGTAATTAAGGGTCAACTTGAAGTTGAGATTCTGAAAGTAAAGCTGTCCTGTGAGCAAACCGGTAATAAAGGATCTATGCAGTAATTTGCCACATGTTTACTGCATGGGCATTATCTTTTTGTCTGAGCATAACGTGCTGTTGTATTTTGTTTTTGCTCAATGCATTGCAAACCTCCAATGGTGTTTGCTACGTTTGCCCCGAGCCACCTTTGTAATTAAGGGTCAACTTGAAGTTGAGATTCTGAAGGTAAAGCTGTCCTGTGAGCAAACCGGTAATAAAGGATCTATGCAGCAATTTGCCACATCCATTTACCGTATTGCAAGTCTCAAGGCACTTTTAGTTTTGAAATGGTCTCCATCAATCTGAAGAGAAGCTTCTGTTTCATCATTTTTCATGATTGTTATGTTCCTGGTCGTTGTCATACTCATACTCTTCAGCAAGGTCATAACAAAGAAATGCAGCAGCCATTGGAAACATAGAATGCAGAATTAGTGTGTTTGAATTGAAGTCGACAAAATATGACCAGTACCCGATCAAAAGGAACAGGAAAGCTTTTAGAGGCATCAGTCGGACTTTGGATGTCACAGTTAGAGAACCCCGAGGAGCCACAATGACCTCAGTTCTTTATAGGTCTCTTGAAAATCATTTTGACGACGTTTGTCGAAGGCCAAACCGTTCACGGAGCGAGATTCCGAATCAGGATTTGGAGTATTTGTGAGCGTTGTCTAACGTTGTGAACTGTGTAACTCGACTTGATTTGCAGATAACATAACTCGTGAGTTACAGTGGATCTTCTGAAGTCAAACACAATCCATTTTGTCAGACTGCTTGACTTTTAGGTCTTTGTTCTAATTGCAAAAGACCTTCCCCTGCAGGAAGTGAATGCATTTATTGTAATCAAGGCTGTAACTGTCATCTTTATAAAGTCTTTAATTTCTACACAGGAAAGGTTTTAAGTAACATTGTAGCATTCCTTCGTGTGGTCCAAGTGGGAGAGAAGGTGCCCAACGCATTTGGAAACCGAAACGGGCTTCACCCCGTCAGCCATGCCACGGAGCGGGGAACACGATCGTGTTTTCAGAGTGATACTGTCACCTTGTGGCGTTTTACGGACACTGCTGAATTGGAATTGCTGGATGCTGAGCATTGGCTTGTTCCAAGTAAAGAGTCAATGTAATTCAATTCATTAATTGCATTGCTCATATTGTACTGAGCGCGCACACAGAGAGAGCAAGAGCCCCCCCGTTCGGAACTTGAAACGTTCATAGATCAATTTCCTATTGAAATGAATGGAAACGTAATTAATCCGTTCCAGCCCCAAAATTAAGTTCCTTACTGTCACCTTGTGGCGTTTTACGGACACTGCTGACTTGGAATTGCTGGATGCTGAGCAACTTAATTAATCCGTTCCAGCCCCCAAATTAAGTTCCTTTTTTTGGTCATATCATTTGCTAACACTGATTCCTTTCTGTGTGTGGAATCACAAAAAAAAAAAAAAGCAAAGCCCATTTAATGTGCAAAAGTTACTTTGTGCGGCATCCAACTTAGTGAGGATTGTTCATCGTTCTTCTGCAACCTCGACTTTACTGAAAACACATCCTAACTCTCGATTTTAGCAAGCTTCACGGAAGTTGATATGTTTGATTGGCTTTCGCGGATTTTAGCAAGCATCACGGAAGTTGACATGTTTGATTGGCTTTCGCGGACCAGGTCTGACCCCCGGGCCTTGAGTTTGACACCTGTCACATCTGAAACCTACAGTTTAAATGATTGAGGTTTGCTCGCTGGTCGAATTCCCCCCCGCCCCCAGCTCCCCTTTTCTGGTTTGTTTGACACCTGTCACATCTGAAACCTACAGTTTAATGATTGAGGTTTGCTCGCTGGTCGAATTCCTCCCCCCCAGCTCCCCTTTCTGGTTTCACTGCTGCACAAGATGACATTGAGCCGTTTCAGTCCAGAACAACGACAACAGATGACTAATCACACGTTGCCCGGGGCAACAAGACAGGAGCGAAATCACCACCAGCCGCAGTCAAACACTGCAAAACGTCTCCTGTGTTTCTCGAAGGTTGGTTGCCTCTGCAGGTAACGAGCTGGGATAAGCATGTTTCTGTGCTGCTTCTGACAAGTTTCCGCTTTAACAACAGCTACCGCTGTCGTCGCATTCATGCATCAAGAATCTTAAGGAAACCATGTCACTCTGTTCAAAGTTGGATCCTGTTTTTGTTTTTCCCGTCCAAATTTGGCACAACACTATAAGCCGTACTTCTCGTGGCCCGTTTCCACAGCATTTGGTCTTATTGTCCAATTTCTGTTGCGATCAAAATCTGGTTTACGGGCTGGGGCTGTTATTTCATGTCACAGGTCTGGTCCGGATTTACTGTATGTGCAGCCCGAGAACAGCCGGCATCGTGGACACCCGGAACAGGACTTAACATCTAATGACAGACGCATGTAAGTACTGCCAAATCATTTCTTCGAGAAACCCCCGCCGACAAACACGTGAGACCGGCAGGGCGCGTTACTGTCAGTCATCAGCAAAACCGACGTCGGTCAGTGACGGATGGAGAGCTCCGTCGGTACTTGACCCGGTTAGCCGCGAGGACACTGAAGAACGAAAACCCACTTTCGTCAGCCCCCGCTGGTCTGAACACGAATTTCGGCTGGATTAATATTGCGTTTGTGAAATATGACTTCAGCGGGAAAAGCTCCCGGTTCCTTATCCATCCCAGGAGACTATTTGGCCGCTTGGTGTCGTCATTGCAGTGCCTCGGGGCTCGGGCGGCGACCAATCATTGCTCACCTGTTTTCCGAGTTTGGTCACGTGACTCTTGCACGTGGAGCCCTTCAGGGACTGTGATGTCATTTTCAGTCGACAGCGAGTGACAAAATGTCCGTCGCCTGCAATGGATCAAAACTGGTCAAGTTCACGACTTCATTCATGTTCCACAAACGCAATCCTTCATCAGAGTGCCGTGTTTCGACGAGTGGGGAGCTTGGAACATTTTTGACTCGACTTCCCCTTTAACAAGATTCGTCCATAATGCTTTGCAGGCTGTGCTTTTCTTTTGCCTTTCACGTGCTGGCTTTGATTACGTCGTGGTGCGTGATGTTACACATTGTTCTAGAATACGCCTTTGGATCTGTTTTATGATGAAATGGTACAGTCGTACTACATTAAAAGGCGCTGCAACATTTTTCAAAGATCGCTCCTGTGATATTTTCCTACAGTGACTGTGCTCCAGTGTCGTTTTGAGGCTTTATTGCCCACCGCTAGTCAGAAAGCTTGACGTGTTAAAACGCTTGGGAGCGAAAACAATATTCCCGATACGGATTCACTCTGATGCGGGGTTTTGTTTGTGGCGCCAGCTCACTCTTAAGAGTTCCTGCCTCCTTCGAGCAAGCTTAGAGGGAAGGCCGCTGGTTGGCAGACTGCCAGTCGTGAGCGTGACCTGTGCACTTTGTTGGAATCGGTTCTGTTCATCAGCGAAGGCCACCGAGATACCGATTGTATCTTCTGGCTTCACATGGCGCTGAATAGAACATTTGGAGATTGGATTATTTGTAACTATGTTTTCCTCCGCCCCCTCCAGCCTTGGAGCGTTTTTACATCGTAGCCGGGCAGCCTGGCTGCCTCCCTGCCTCCAAATGAATGAAGAGCACTCCGGATCACAGAGACTCTGCTGATACAGGTCCGATGTTTGTGTCACACTACGTGTGCCGGACTCGAGATTTTCCATCTACTCTGCAATCATTGACAGTATGATGCATCGCTGTCGACTCTGCTGTCATGTTGCTTCCCCTCAGGGCATGCAGGTGTTTCTGCAAATATGATGAAGAAAAAAAATCCCAATAAGTGAGTGGGCGCGCTTTGAGACTTTCGGACGCACCTTGAATGGCCGCACACGTTGACGCTTTTGTGTTTTCGCATTCTTCACGAAGGAAACATAAGAGCAATCTGGGCCCGACCACCAAAGTTCTGTCACAGCCACGGCGCAACATCGTCGGCTGCCGCATCCAACACATCTGGAAGGACGGAAGTGGCCACGTCGTATGGAAAGGGACCGTTCTTGACCAGGTGAGAAGTGCTGCTTCAAATCATGTGAACGGTGAGCTTTTATTATTATTTTTTTCTTCCTTACTCTGTCTTAATAGTACAAACTTTGAATGAGATGTGATTGCTTGTAAGGCGCGACATTTTTCGATCACAAATAGCGATCATTGGGCACTCACATTTCCAGTAAGTGTACCAAATAACATTAGCGTCATGACAGGTCACTCGCAGCCCAAGTTGCCGACTAAGTGGAGGAAATTCCGCTTTAAAAACAACTCCATAGATAAATGGACTCATGAAATCAGTTGTCCCGCCCCCTTTGATGATCGAAGGCTGTTGTTCTCTCTTTCCTACCCAACCAGGTGCCGGTGAATCCATCTCTTTATCTGATAAAGTACGATGGCTTCGACTGTGTGTACGGTCTGGAGCTCCACAAGGATGAGAGGGTTCAAGGGTTGGAGGTGCTTCCTGACCGACTGGGTAAGCGTCAACGAAGATCAAGACCTCGTGTGCTCGTGAGCCTATGATGTGATTTTATATCATCGAGCTCCCCGCCCCCCATTGACTTGCAAACATGCATCCATCTAAAATCGTTACCCTCTGCATAACTTCCCCGGAAAGCGGCTCATGACTTCATTTTATTTTGAATTCATGCAGCCAAATCCCGGCTGACCGACGTCAATCTCGCTGATACGATGATCGGCAAAGCGGTGGAGCATATGTTTGAGACGGAGGAGGGTCCAAAGGAGGAATGGCGGGGGATGGTGCTGGCCCGGGCGCCCATCATGACCACCTGGTTTTATATCACCTATGAGAAAGACCCGGTCCTCTACATGTACCAACTGCTGGATGACTTCAAAGAAGGAGACCTCCGCATCATGCCTGACTCGAGTGAGTGCAATTTGGTTCGGGGCTAATTGGCCTGTTTTTCACTGCAGCAGTTGCATCAATGTTGCTTGAAACTGCCCGACAAATAATTGGGTATTTGTCGGGCTGGACTCTGGCACCGACTACGTCAGAGAGGGGTGTGGGGCAGGGTGGCGGGGTGATCCTGACGATTGCGGATGTCGAGGAACGACTCCCTGGACACGCGTAACTTTGAAACGCATGTCGACTTGAAATCAAAACGAGATTTCGTCTGATTTCGACTCAACAATTTCTTGGCGCTCTTTGACAGAAATGTCAGATGACTTTGAAGTCACTTTTCATTCCTTCGTGCCTGCAGATGACAGCGTCCCGGCCGAGAGGGAACCGGGCGAGGTGGTGGACAGTCTGGTGGGCAAACAGGTGGAATACGCCAAAGAGGACGGGGGCAAACGAACAGGCATGGTCATCCACCAGGTGGAGGCCAAGCCTTCCGTGTACTTCATCAAGTTCGACGACGACCACCTCATTTATGTCTACGACCTGGTGAAAACTTCATAAGACTTTGCAGCCATCCTGACACTCCCCCCGCCCACACCACACGCTGACTGACACACACGCCCGATTTCTGTACCACGCTCCGCAGACCCTTCATGACGAAAGCCCACACGCAGTCATTGTCGACTTGTTTGACAAACGGATTGAAAACACTGCAGAACAAGTTGACAATGGATGTCAATGTATGAACGCTAATTTGGACTTTGCTGCTTTGGAAAACGGTTTGACTGAAAGATTTGGTTCGGTAGGTAGCGATGTAGCAACGCGGTCGGCCATTGTTTGTCGGTCAACAAAGTAGAAGAAGCCCAATTTGGCAGCGCCACGCACCGAAATAGGAGGCGTGACAGCAAAAGAGAGCTCCTCACCCTTGTCCGTCACTGACTCGTACGATGGCCACGCGGACGCCCGTTTTCTGATGCCAAGGCCGTGAAAAGAACACACATGGATGTACGGCAAGCCCCGAAACCCGGTTCACGACTTTTGTTTCTAACTCGCTCCAAACAAACATCGTTGAGAATTGATGACACGCGTTCTCAAAAGTCCACATGATTGCACTGTAAATCCAGCCTTTATTTTCAACGTCCATTGCACTTCCAAGTTGTCATTTTCACCCCTTTGAAAGCTCTTAATTTAACGAAGAAGCATTTGTACGTATGGAATTGCGCCACTGAATAGACTGTTTTTTTTTCTTTACCTTTCAATATTTATCGAATCTTTTTTTTCTTTTCCTTTGGGCGCCCATCATGCCTTCATTTCACAGGAAAACCTTTGACTCCCAAGCGTGTTTTACATTTGACCAAACTTTAAAAAAAAAAAAAAAAAAAAAACATTTGGAGATGAGGATTATTTTAAACTACATTTCGATGCCTTTCCCTGGCATAAATGGGCTTTTGTCCAACTGTGAGTGGACCCGTGGCCAGTGGAGTCTTTTCACACGAAAGGGGACGACAGCAACTTAATTGTTGAGGATGAATCGTGAGAATATCAAAACTGGAGATATCCCAAATAGCAACAACAGGGTTTTGTACAGAACCAAGCAAGACACATTGGACTTGAAAAGAAAAGAAAAGAGAAAAAAAAAGACTTAATTTCACAGCTGAAGATGTATTCAACATTAATGAAACCCTCAAGATGTCTGCAGATGAAAACTGTGATTTTAAAAAAAAAAATGGGAATTTTTTTCCACATTTTATATTGCCAAACTGCTTCTTGATGTGGATTTTTAGGTTTTGTTTTTTGTTTTTTTACAGTAAGTGTTACAGTGTTTATGATTTCACTAAAGCCTTTGCATATGCTTTTGTGTACTTGCCTAAACTTCGATGAAGGAGTTTAAAAACAAACAAAACAAAAAGTTGTAGTCGTGTAGTATAGTTTGTGACTTACGCACACTTATTATTATGATACTATGATGATGATGATGATGATGATTATTATTATTATATCTGCGCTTCCTCCATTTCAAGTTGTTTCGAAAACAGGTAATGCATTTTTGGTGTTGATATTCAAGAAGAACAATTTGGTTGCACCTTAAATCCCAAGGAAGGCATTGAGAAGATTAGACAACCAAAACTCTCTGGCACAGTTGCGTTGAGGGAAAGAAAAGGTCCCAGTCGAGTGGAACCAATGTGACGTCTTTTGAGTCATTAAAACCGGATTGCCACCTCCATGTCTGCGGGTTAAACGAGACGCGAGTCTCGCAGTTTATTTTCATTCGTAGCATGGAAAAGAAGACTTTCAGTGACGTTGACGTGACGTTGTGTTGGCCAGCTCCGCACCATCGATACAGTAGCTAGTTGGTTGTATTGCTCTATGTATGTGACACGACGATCCTCCGGCGATTGTTTTTTTTACATTTGATTGGATTGAGTTTACTCACAACTGAAGCTTTCCCATCAACACGGCCCACGGTTTTTCAACTTTGGTCCATCATTCCCAACCACCAAAAATGTTGCATAGGTGAAAGTCTCAAACAATGAGTCTGAATAGTTGTTTGCATCTGTTATTTAGGTTGTAGGTTTTCTTTTTTTTTTTCTCCAGACAATGGTCTCTTGGTGAAGAAAAAAAAACTCTTACCTAGCTGACAGTTTCCGCTGTCACTTTGGCCTTCGTCGGAGCTGTCGCTGCTTCCTTGTGACGGGTCTTAAAAACAGACACGTAGACACAATGAACATCATAGCGCTATTGAATCTGTAATTCATAAACCAGGCAACCTAACATTCAATGTATGGTGTTTGGGGATTTATTTGAAGGTCTAAAAAAAGGATATTGTTTTCCAATCCAAAATGCAACTGACGAAATCACACGGGAGGCAAAGGAAGCAAATGTTGAAAGCCATTGGGGGAGGTCTTGGTTTGAATGCATGTACAGATGAGATGCAAATGTCAAACCTTCAGTTTGTGTACTTCCTGTGATGTAGATAGTTGTCGAAGCAGATAGATGACGGCTATTGTTCATCACTGCACCAAAAAAAAGAGACTCTCCCAGACATTTATGCGCATTTAGTATGTCTTTCAAGACAGAGAAGTATGATCATCTCAGCACTGTTTTAGTCGACTTTGGCAACGGCACAATTTGCCCGTAAAGTTGTGTCCATAACAATTTGTTGTTCTTCTTTTTGCAGTTATTGATTATTGTTGTTGATGTCGGAATGACATGGCTTTTTCTATCATCCTGCCTTGTATTGTTTGTTTGTTTGTTTTTTGTATGATTAAACATGTATGTTCATTTTTATTGTTCATGAAAAGCTGTGGTTTGTGTTCTTTCCCATATGTTGTGTTGTCACTCGACTCCACGGCGCAGTGGTTGTCCTCGTGTCTCAATTTCATGGACAGCAAAATAACTATTTGCACCCGTTGGAACTCCTGTAAAGTCATCATGGATCCGTTTATATAAGCGATTATCTTCTAAAACGGTCATATCTTGCTTTGCGGTCGGATGCACTAATAGACAAGGATGTAAACACAACTTGGCTTTTTAATCACACACCTGCCGATGAAGATAAACTACACGACGGCGATGGTTAGGGGCAACCCGCCGTAAAGGCTGGCAGCCCTCAAAAGTATTAAACGACTTACAGCGATCATTTGTTTTACTGGGTTAGGAGATCGTTGTGCATATATTTTACTCATAAAACCCATTAAATTATTGCATGTTGTTTTGTGTAAACAGAGAACGGAACGGGTAAAAAAAAAAAAACGTCAGCATCATGAAAAAGTTTTACCTTCGACATGACTGGCTAGCTTGTTCTCCCGGTGTGTCATGAAGTCGCTCCGTTTTCCGTCCACTTGGATTTCGGCAGTCATTTATCTTCTGCCGCCCGTCGTGGTGCACTCCGGTGATCACGTGACGTCGCTGCCACAGCTCAATTGGCTGTTAAAAAGTGCTGTAGATGAAACAAAGATTTGTACTTCAACACTTTAAGCAATTATGAAACGAAAGGACGAGTCCGAAATTTACGGTGGCAACTGTAGCTTCGGTGGACGATTGAACACCGGCAGCTCAGCTTCCTGGGTCACGTGATACGGAAAGAACGTCTCGAAGAACTGCAAAATGTAACATTTCGGGAGGCCGCCAAATTACGATTTCAATCTATTAATGTGTGGGTCCACGTGATACGTGCAAACAGCCAATCACACATATGGACAAATTAGTCTTCAATAAGGTCGACATTCATGTTTTGGAACGTGGAAGGGAGCCAGCGTATCTGGAGAAAACACACACAAAAATTCAAACGACGAACCTCTGATGTGTGGGCCATTTGTGTTGCCTATTTAAAATCATGTGACGTCACATCAAAACTTTATTTGAAAAATGTAAAATACATCATACAAATTGTCATTTAAAAAAAATCTGAACGAAGCATGTGATATCTGAAACAAATACTGAGGATTCCTTGAAATGTTGATTACATTACAGTGCTGTCCAGGTATGAATCTGCACTCCCAAGCAGACTGCGTGATAAAAACTGCCGCTCACTATGAAGAGAATTTTGCAGAGATGACTTTGGCTCATTGTGTAAATGATATCTAAAAAGGCCTTAGCTGTTACCACCATTTGTTTTGGTTTTAGTGTTGGGCTTGCGCGTGGGGCAAAAAAGGTTGGGGGCCCCTGGTGTAAATGATATCTGAAAAGGCCTTAGCTGTTACCACCATTTGTTTTTGTTTTGGTGTTGGGCTTGCTAAAAATAAATTGACACAATGTTCGTGCAAAGACAAACTTGCTACATTTTAAAAACATTATCCTCAACAGTTCAGGTGGTGGAAAGGGTGCAGTCTGCGTCAGACTTCAACTTCCTTTACGACATCTATTTTAGCTAATGTCTGCTTTTGAGCTGGATGACCAAAAAAAAAAAAAGGGTGGTGTGGCACATGTAACATGGAAGTTAAATTACTTGTATTGAAAGAAAATGTAAACATTTCTCCTGCGGCTTGCAGTTTAGTTTATTCCACTTAATTGTGCTCTTGCCTCATTCCTATGAAAATATTTCTCACAATATAAACAGTTTGTCCGTGTGTAAGTCCGTACATGTCCTTGGCATGATCCACGTATGTTGGCACTGAGGCACGTGTGCACGTCGCGACTTGTGGCTATCAGTCATCGATGAAGGTCAGCCGTCCTGGTCCTTCGTTCTTCCTCCACCGTCTGTACCGCTTCATCTTTGGGTCGGTGGCCATTTTCACCTTCATCTCCTCTTCCTGTTCTGCTCTGTACAGCTGGAGGAGGCACAAGAGGAATGTTGACACTCGACGGTTTCACGATTCAATTTGAGTGAAACAAACACAACACCTCCACCTGCATATGTCGACAGTATCATTTGTGTCAAATACCCAAATACCCCGAACTCTTAGATGTGATGGAAATGCAAATGCCACGGGAACTTTGTATCACCAGGATTCTATAAGTCCCTGGCTTGTTGGTGGCAAAGTGGGTATTAAAAAAAAAAAATGCTACTCCGTGAATCCATATGTGCTGAACCGCAAGTATGAAGGGCTCCATAGTAAAATCCATGAAGGAAGCATTTACTTGCATCAAACAAGTTGAGCTCAAAGGCATCATGTAGAGCATTTTTATGTCACAAACCTCGTAATTTTCTTTGATCCAGAGTTGTTTTTCCAGGAAAGATTGCCTGGTGATCTCATCCAGGCTATCAAATTGAGACTGGGAGATCTTCATGTGCCTCCTGAGTTTTTCAAAAAGGAGACACACAGGTACAAAGAGAAGGTGACGGTCTTGCTCATCGACAGAACATCGGTATTGCCCTTCCGCGAAGAGCTGACCTGATGATGTAAAGCTTCTCCTGGTCGCCGTACTCCTCCCTGCAGATGGTGAAGTGGTACACCCAGGAGACATACCAGGCGACGTAGTTGATGAGGTAGCAGGGGAACAACACAATCTGACACAGCAGGATGTCGGACAGGTTGGGTTTCTGGTAGCCGCCTTTGATGTCGATCTTCGTTTTGATGATGTCACGGATCACCTCCTCCTCCTGCTCCCGGATCTCCTCTTTGGAGCGCCGGTTCTTGCCCTTCTCCTTGGTGCGGTTCAGGAGGCCCTGCTCCTTGGCGATCAGCGTGGCCTGGATCCGATACTTGGGGACATTCGCCAGGCAGTTAATGGCCTCGTTGTAGCTACTGTGCCAACTGTAATACTGGAGACGGCCGAGAAGGACAGAGAGTTTTGTCAGCTTGCGTGTCTCACCGGAGGGCCAGTTTACAGAGTGGACAATGTAATTCCATCATGAGTCATCGTTCACACGGTACCTGGAAAACGGAAATGGCACATATGGTAACGAGGATTACGATCCTGACGTCCACTTTGGGAGTGAGCTGTCGGCGGTAGTAGGTGTAGTAGTGCTGGTAGTACTCCTCGGGGTGGTCCAGCATGTAGTCGTAGTCCCTTCGTGTGTCCTCATCCTGCACACAATTTAGGCAAAGTCGGTTACTGTAAACAGCAAGAACTGAAATGAATTTTCATGCACGCGAGATCTCCAAATGCCACAACAAACCACATGACAATAATCTATTTTCTCATTAGTCACAAGACTGTAAACAGGAAGTAGGTTTGCCATCCAGTCTCGTGCGTGCGATAAAGTAGAGCAGCACAAAAAAAAAGAAATAATAACTGGTATTTGTTCATAATTGTTATAATTACTTTGATAATAGAGCAGGCCAAACATCAGCAAAGTCAGTCCCGCATCGGTAAAATGGCAACTGCTTCATCCGCAGTGTCTATAATGTAACTCGGACACATATTTACGATGTTTCAAAGTCACTTTGATGTTTGTTACAACAAAACTTTTGTTGGTCAATTTAGAATAATTTAATCAATGCAAATAAAAACAAAGGGAGGAAGACCATCCAATTCCCATAGTTTTATTATTTCTCCTGTTTTATTTGTAAAATTATTTGGGAAATATATTTTAAATAGCGTGCGTGCAGTCGTGTCATTGTTCAGGTCCCAGCCACATGAGCTGGACTCGTCTGCCCATGTGGCACTTTTCCACTGGCAGGCACTGAACTGAACCCAGGTCGGTCTTGCTGATCCTGAAGGTTGTGTTTGCCGAAGGAACACACGTCTCGGGCCAACTTCCTGTTGACTTCGAGATTGTATTTTTGGCACCACTCATCTTTGTCGTTCGTTGCAAATTATGCGTGACTATCTGCCTGCTTTGAATGCGCAAGTATTCAAAACAAATCACAGCTGCTTACGGTCGCTATGGAACTATTGGAAACGTTTCCGATAACGCGAAAATGGAACGAGTTTACCGAAAGCCTTGTGTGAATGCTAAATATCTCATTAGGCTTTCTTGCTCTCACTTTCCGACGATAAGCAGCCAACTTGTACACCAACAAGATCCAGTACAAATCAATGCCAACGACTGCCAACCAAAACAGAGCAGTGCTACTGTGCACATTCTGTGAGCCGGCATTCAGGGAGCCTTTATTATTTCAACCACTGAAGCGACGCGACTGAACATGTGTTGGCCAAGTAACGGAAGTGAGCCGACCTTTAGAGTCTCGTACGCCGTGGCAACGAGCAGGAACTTTTGCTGGGCTGACTCCGCAGTCTCTCCCTCCAACCCCAGATCTCCAGGTCTGAACCTGTCCGGGTGGTACCGGCGAGCCAGCTGCCGGTAAGCCCGAGCGATCTCCGCTTTGGAGGCCTCCCGAGTGACCCCGAGCACGTCATAGCAGACCTCGGTGCCGCAGTACAGACCCTCCACCAGCGCCCGGGCCACCGGCAGCGACGACGTGAGCAACAGTAGCGCGGAGAGCCACCACCAGGACCGCACTGCGGACCCACCGCCACCTCCACGGCAGAGTTCCGCGAGCGTAGCCATCTCCACGACTACCGGTGCCTGTCAAGGCACCATCCGAGGGTCCTGCGCGTTTTTTTGCGGTGCGCATGCGCAACAGATCGGCCATATTTAATAGCAAACAACGGAAAGTACGAGGGCACAAAATATAAAGCGCATGCGCAAGAACCATTTACCGAACGCGCAAGAACCATTTACCGAACGGTACCAAAACATATACTGTACTGTAGTTGTCTTTATGCCGTACTGCCACATAATCCTAGGCAGCGCTGCAAAGTACTGCGAAGTAGCAAAAAGAAAAAGTGTGGACAATAAAATATAAAGTTAATGGCGTCGAGTAACATTTGTGAGGTCCTCAGCCTTCACACAACTCGCCTGTATTTAGTTTCACGTCAGCATTTTCAGCATTTTTTTTTGCTTTCCCTCGGTCGATCCATCCATCCATCCATCCATCCATCTCTTAATGAATGATGGTGACCCTCAAGTTTGCTCCGCCGTCGTTCCCCGTCTATTCAAATACTGCAATTGCACTTTCTCGCCTGTAGACGGCAATGTTTTCACAGTTTTGCATTGGTAAAGGCGCGAGTTTTCTCATCAGGCTGTTTTAAATTATTGTCGTTTTTTGCTGTAAACCCAATAAATCCATTGATAAAATGATTTGCACATTTCTGACATAATTCCTCTTGTAAATTTTCAAAACGCGAACTCTATATAATTTGTTATTAATTGGTTGTTTTATATTTTGTTGTCGTATCAATTCTTTTTGCTTCATGTACAGCACTTTGTATCTGGCTTTTCACGTGTGAAAGTGTCGACTGAGTACCATTCTTGTTATTTATTTTGTAAGATGGCCGCGGAAGTCAGTTTAGTCCGGCAAGTTTCATTCACGTGATGAAATCTTGTCATGTCAGACTGAATATGACAACAATCCATCCAGTGGGTGGGGCACCGAAATAGGACGTACACCAAATCCGAAAGTCAGCTGTGTTTATTCGCAATATCATCCGAGAGTCAGTGCAAGATGGGCGCTCTGCACTCAATCCCTAAAGGTGAAGTTCAGAATTTTCATGACTTTTGATAATCTTCTCACATTTCCGATAGTCTTGCCCTGCAACTGATTGAAGTGCTGGATATGTCTGTCATCAGGTGCTCCGCTGAGAATTGTGATCATTGGCAAGACCGGAGTTGGAAAGAGTGCCGCCGGTAACACCATCGTGGGAAAAAAAGTGTTTTTGTCAGCAACAAGTTCACAGTCGGTGTCTGAGCACTGTGAGACAGAAAGAGCCAAGTGTCGGAGAAAGATTCAGGTCGTCGATACCCCCGGGATTTTGGATACGGCTGCAGACCCTGAAAGAATCAAGAAAGAAATCGCAAAATGCATCCAGATGTCTTCTCCCGGACCCCACGCCTTCCTGCTGGTCTTGCGGGTAGGAAGGTTTACAGAAGAAGAAGAAAAAAGCGTGCGTGCTCTGGGGAAACTATTTGGCCCGCAGGCTTCCCGCTACATGTTTGTTCTTTTTACCCATGGTGACGAGCTCAAAGGAAGAACCATCCAGGAGTATGTTAGAAATGCCAATCCGAAGCTCCAAGAGGTGATCAACAGATGTTGGGGCCGCTACCACGTCTTTAACAATAAGAAAATGCGCAACAGAGCTCAGGTGGTGCACCTGATTGAGAAGATCGATGACATGGTGGCGGCAAACGGGGGGCAACATTTCACCGAGGCCATGGTGGTGGAACCGCAAGAGACAATGAGTCTTGACAGATATGTTGCAGAGGGGCAACCTTACAATTTCTCTTTCAGGGGGGAATTGTTCCAGAGAATCTATGAGCATCAAGCCATAATCGACCAAGGACGAAGCAGTGGCGGTTCCGGTCCCTCGGCCCCCACCCTCTGAATGAAGTTGATACTGTTCTATAATCAGAGCTGGAATCACCGGTTGGGCTATCTGACCGGTTTGGTCAGTTTGTTTGCTTATTTACTTTTTAAAGTTTTTTTTGTTCCTCCCACCACATTTTATTCTTCATCTCTTATCCATTCTCGCTCATCTATGTACAGCACAGTTATACGTTTACTTACTTTGATTGAGACACCAGAGTAGGCGGCTAAATCAAAGCCTTGGGAAACTGACAGACGTGTGTTCCGAAACCTCAATACAATACAATACATCCTGATTCATATAGCCTCAATCTCAAAAACAACTCAGTCATGGAAACATTTTCTGGTTAAACGGTTGGCCGACTGGAATGTTGCTTGGAGGACTTTCTCTTATCTATGATGAATAAAGTTTTCTTGAGCACACAGTTTTTCGTCTGGGCTTTGGTGTACATGACATTTTTGTGACAGAGATGAGGCGTCATTTTGCCGTGTGTCATTTTGTTGCCTTGACATACTGCTGCTACGCTTCATCGTGTGGCTATTGCAGCAGATGAGCGAATGATTCGTGATTAGTCGACTTCAAGTTTTAAAAATCAATGCCGGTAAATAAAGTGATCGAGTTGACAACTCGATTCAACTGCCTATTCCTGTGTTCGGCACTTTTTCCATCCATTTTCTCATCCGCTTCTCCTCACAAGTGTCGCGGCCATGCTGGAGCCTCTCCCAGTAGGCGGGGCACACCCTGAACTCTTTGCCGGCCAATCGCAGGGCACACAGAGACAAACCATCTGCTCTCACACTCACACCTCTATGGACTATTTCGAGTGTTCCATGAACCTGCCACGCATGTTCTGGGAAATGTGGGAGGAAACCGGAATACCCGGAGAAAACCCACGCAGGCACGGGGAGAACATGCACCTTACAGTGCAGGGTTCAATTCTGGCTCCGGCCTTCATGTGTAGAGTCTGCATGTTCTTCCCGTGCCTGAGTGGGTAGTCCAGTTTGCTCCCACATTCCAAACACATGCCTGGCAGGTTCATGGAACACTCGAAATTGTCCCGAGGTGTGACTGTGAATGTTTCTTTGTCTATCAGCACAACGAGATCTCCTAAAAAACATGTGGGGGGGAAAAAACATGAATGCTGCTCTGGCAAGCACTTGCAGACACGACAAACTATTCATCTCTCCTGAATGTCATTGTTCTTTACGTGATGGATATGCGATATTGTTTTTATGCTGGTCGCAGAAGAGCAAGCTGAGCAGGTTTTATCAAGGTAAAGAAATCCGTCCGAGTAAAGCAGACTGTTCCAGTCGCCCCGTAGGGTTGCGCTTCAGTTTTTCATGCGAAAAGTGTCGACCGAGTGCCATACTTGTGAGTTATTTTGTAAGACGGCCGCGGAAGTCAGTTTAGTCCAGCAAGTTTCATTCACTTGACGAAATCTTGTCATGTCAGACTGAATATGACAACAGTCCACCCAGGGGGTGGAGCACAAAGAAGGATGTACACTCACATCTGAAAGTGGGCTGTTTCGATTTGCAATATCATCAGCGACTCCGTGCAAGATGGGCGCGCCGCACTCGATCTCGAAAGGTGAAGTTCGGAATTTCCATGACTTTCTGCACGCTTCTCACATTTCCGATCGTCTAACTCTGCAATTGATCAAAGTACTTTTACGTCATCAGGTGATCCCCTGAGAATCGTGATGATTGGCAAGACCGGAGTTGGAAAGAGCGCCGCCGGTAACACCATCGTCGGAAGAAAAACGTTTTCGTCTGTAACCAGCGTACAGTCAGTGACAGCGCACTGTGAGACAGAAAGAGTCAGGTGCCGGAGAAACATTCAAGTCGTCGACACCCCCGGGATTTTGGATACGGCTAAATATCCGGAAAAAATCCGAAAAGAGATTGCAAAATGCATCCAGGTGACCTCTCCCGGCCCCCACGCCTTCCTGCTGGTCTTTCAGGTCGGCAGGTTTACGGAAGAAGAAGAAAAAAGCGTGCGTGCTCTGGAGAAACTATTTGGCCCGGGGGCTTACCGCTACATGATTGTTCTTTTCACCCACGGTGACGAGCTGAAAGGAAGAACCATCCAGCAGTACGTTAAAAACGCCAATCCGAAGCTCCAAGAGGTGATCAACAGATGTTGGGGCCGCTACCACGTCTTTAACAATAAGAAAATGCGCAACAGAGCTCAGGTGGTGCACCTGATTGAGAAGATCGATGACATGGTGGCGGCAAACGGAGGGCAACACTTCACCGAGGCCATGATGGAGATGCCATCGGAGGCAACCCAGAGACCGGATCTTGACCGACACGTTGCAGAGGGGCAACCTTACAATTTCTCTTCCAGGGGGGGATGAGAATCTCCGGGCATCAAGGCATGATCGAGCCAGAATGGAGGCGGTTCCGGCCAGCTCTGCCCCCACCCTCTGAATGAAGTTGAGACTATTCCGTAATCAGTGCCGCTCAATACAAAGATATCGCTGGCCGGGCTACCTGACCGGTTTGCTCTCTTGTCATTGTCCGTCTCTTGTCCATCTCGCTTATCACTGCACAGCACCGTTATGCATTTACTTACTGAGCTTGAGGCACCACAATAGTCGGCTCAACTTCAGCTCAAAACCCAATCTCGAAAACAAGTCAATCATGAGAACGTTTCCGGGTTCAATGGTCGACCTACTGGAATGTTGCTGGGAGGACTTTCTGTTGCCGATGATGAATAAAGTATTTTTTTAGCACGCAATTGTTGTCTGGGGACCGTGAATTGGTTGGTGAGCAGCCATCGGCAACTGGCGGCGCCCACTTTTATTGGCCCTTTGACTAATTCCCCCACAAGGAGAGAAGAAGAAAAAAAAAACTCCTCCATCAGCGCCTCTGACCTGCTTCAGGGTTCCAGCCCGCAACATTCTTGCATACCGAACCTGCGCTGGGCACCCTTATCATTCCGGTGAGATATACACTGGCTCATTTTTATTTTTCACATCTTGAAAGGCGACATACCATCAAAGATCAGCACTTTGTTAAACTGGTGTCATGCTAACCATTCAACCCATTCAACATTCCTCCACAAAATGTCTTGGCCTTGTTGAACTTGCTGAAACCGCTTTCAGTTTTTATGCCACAGCATCCTGGAATAATCGTCACTCACCACAAAATCCAACACAAGTTCAACCATATGAGCAGAACTATTTTGCGTGTCAATCTAACTTATGAAAGTTTGCTCTTCAAACGGAAAATTTGCAAAAGCATCGCAGTCAAGTATTCAGCACGTACATTTTTCATGAGTGTGTCAAATGATTTGTGGCGACCATTTTGCTTTTGTGTGTGGGTGCGCGGGGGGTGAGATGCACCTTTTTTTTCGCGTTTCACTGATTTGATATCTCTTGTCTGCATCCCAACACTAAGCCGGGCTCCCCGTGTTTCGCATTGCGTAGCGCCACTAAATTTAGAGCCGCGGCTCAGAATCTACTCACATACAAAGTAAAAATAGCAAGGAGGGAGACTTGCTTTCCACACAGCTAAAACCCTGCGCAGACTACGTCTGGGCTCGTTGAAGCTGACAGCGAAAGAGACCGAGACCGACCGACTGACTGAAGACCAGCATGTGGCCCACAGGCCCTGAACTACTGTAGCGACAGACCGACGCCTTGGCTACATCGCGGATTTGGGACCTTTACGGAGAGTTCTGCTGACTAAAGCAAGGCTTGCAAACAAACCCCAAAAGGGAAACCCTCGGTCTGGACAAAAGACATCAGGTAAGCCAGGAGTCTGCTGTCGTTGTTGCCCCCTCCCAAGTTTGTAGTTAGTGTGGGTTATTTTACACGGTATGTGACGCGAGTGCAAATAAGACATCAAAGTTTTCCCGTCAAAATAAATAAAACGTGGCTGTCGGACAAAATAAGCTCATATCATTTGCTGGTGTCTTACTAATTTTACTCACAGCAGTTTGTTTTTGGCCTGCTATGATCATTTAAAAAAAACGGAATAAATCACCAAACAACACACAGAGGTGATATAGTGATACCGCACACCAATTTGGAGCAAACTGCAATAGTATGCTAAGCCACATCGCTTGTTGTGAGCCGCCAAAGCCAAGCAAACATGTCAACTTCCGTGACGCTTCCGAAAATCTGCACCAAAATTTCAAATTCTCATCTGGAATAAATGATTAGATATTGGAAGCATTTGGCGACCAGTTCAGGGTGTCCCCAGCCGACTTCACGAAGACGGCTGGGATAGGCTCCGGCACGCCCTTGTGAGGTTAAAGCGGTTCACATGATGGATGGACAGTATGAGTGATAAATCCATGAAAAAAATCAGTTGATACAATGTTCGAGTGCGCTGCCGTTCTTGTGTGAGTTCCGCATGTTGGCCAGGCTACATGGATTTGCAGAAGATCTGGCATTTCTGACTTCAGCTTGATATAACCCCAAACATCTTTCTCAGATCCGCTCTTTGCCTCTTCTGAAATGCCGAAACGACGGGGAAGACCAAGATAAAAACATCGGAACCTATTTTAAGGAGTGACCGCATGGTCTTAACATACCGAGGTCGCCGTAACTGCATTTTCAAACGGTTTCAGTGGGGTGACCTCAGAACAGCGGCGCTGCCCGTGGTGATCGAAGATCATTCCCTAATTTTAGATAATGGTTATTGCATTCGTCAGCTTCTCTTCTCACCGTGAGACACCGTTGAGCCCTGAGGTTCATCCTGCTGACAGCCCAGGATCAAAGGCTCCGCTCTTTAATTTACGCCTCACTAACATGTCTCCAATTCTCAATGACGTTCTTCCAAATTCTTATTCGCCGGCCATCCTGGTTTCAATTCATCTTCCTGTTTCCAAAACCGCCAAACAAGGTTTCAAATGTATTCACGCCAACATGCATGTGCTTTAAGTCATCACGTATTTTTTTTTTTCCTGACGTGTGATAATTTAGTCGAGTTCAGAGACATGAATGACTTTTTTTTTTCCTTACTTCATGAAGTGCATGTAGCGCAATTCCTCTCTAAACATGAGCAAAATTGCTAAAAGATAAACATCTACATCGAAAACTAAATGAGGTCACCGGTGTACATTTCTCTTTAGTGTTTATCTGTGCCAAGCAAAGAACGATATCAAAATAATATCAGATCTTTATGTCATTCCAACGCCAAGCTAGGAAAGCATCTCAAGTGGTGCTTTCTCGTTGTTTGTTGATATCAGTTGCTTGTGACAACCGTGTGTGTGTGTGTGTGTGTGTGTGTGTGTGTGTGTGTGTGTGTGTGTGTGTGTGTGTGTTTGAGAAAGAGCGAGCGAGCGAGAAAGAGATAGAGAGAGGGGATCTCATGTCACAGTTTGCCAAGTCATACATCAATGTGCCATCCATGGCAAGGCAATCAAATACTTGACCCTGACACTTAATATTAGACCATGTGGTAATAATCTCTTTCTGCAGTGGGGGGGTACTTGATTTTCGGTTGCATGTGTGCAACTAACACATATCGTTTGTTTTATTTTTTTTAAATACATGAGATGCTATAGGCATGCATATTCATGGCCATGATGCCTTTTGGCGAAAATATCGACAGTAGATAAATCCCGGCTTGAAATGATTTGTAATGACAACGCAAATGATTGGTTTTGGATTGTATCGCTTTGATGACCGTTCGTCAGATCGACTGTTGACAAGAGTTTCTTTTTGGACGCAGGATGTTGTCAAACAAAGGCGAGCAGAGGTCTTTCGGCAATGGGCGGCTCCGAGACCAATGGGAGAAGAGAGCGCAGACCATCGCCGACCAGTGCAAACAAGAGGGGCAGTTGAGGGAGAAAAGTTCCCTCAAATTGTGAGCACGTCATGAACAAGCGAAATCAATCACAAACACACTTGACGCACATGCTTTGAGGCTCCCTCACAAAAACTAGTTAGAAGCTTTTAGCATGCTTTCAAAGAAACTTCAAGGAATAAAAGTAAAAAAAAAATAAAAAATAAAAGCATGCTCCTCTTGCTAAAAATACACCCAGCGTTGACAAACAAGAAATTCTCTCCTTTTTTTTTCTTTACCTGCAGGCTTTACTCGAAGTGGAACTATCACTGGGCTCTGGCGGCCAACGGGGATACGAGCAAAGGCGAACCGTCCGACTTTCAGAGGGTCACTTCGGAGGAAGCAGAAAAAAACAAGCCGAAAATCAAATTCAAAATCGTACCTCCCCCACCTCCCCAACCCAAAAGTAAAGCGCCACCCCGTCCTCCGAGGAGGGCGTCGCCCCAACCTCTCATAGTGAAGCGTAAAGTTGAAGTGGACGTCTTCCGGTTGCACTGGAAAGAGTCCTGGATGAGTCTGAAACCGCCAAAGTATCTTTTTCTGAAAGCCAACGAGGCAAAAAACAAAATTCAAGGATTTACAACGATAGAGGCGGTCAGAGACGACAAGTACAAACCTGTGCAACGGCCATCCCAGCCTGAGTGCATTTCGACTCTTGACTGGAGACGATCCTGGAAGCAGGTAAATGGAAGAAAAAGTGTTTGGGTTTTTTTTTTTTCCAAACTAGTTTGTCTGTGAACATGACATGTAAAAACTTAAGAATACGTTTGGATGACATTTATGCGATGAACAGCACTTGATAAGACACCGAGAATTATACAGGACCTCATCAAGTGGCCGAAAAAGAAACAGGCAGATTTTTTTTTTAAATATAACATTGAGTCAAAAGTATTTGAAAATGTCTGTTCTGGTCCGGGTATTACATCACAAAACCGAACTGAAGGTTTGTTCTTGGTTCAGGTAACGACTGCTCTGTGTGTTCCAGGTCAAGGCTGCGACCCCGTCAGCGTGTCGGGGGCAGCAACGATTCCAATGGGATATTTTGTTCGACAGAGTTGTGGTCCCCAAACCGGAAATAGGAATCTATCAACTTCCCGTATGGGCCGGCACCTGGAAAATTATGAACTTTGCCTTCAGACAAGAGAAGCAAGAGTGGGATGGTGAATGGCCTGCTTTCCAACAACATTTCTCGAACAAGGTTGACCACGTGCGGCAACTGCTGGAGCAGGTGGGAACCGGGACCCCAATTTCCATTGATGACACTGAATTCACAAATGATTTACATGCGTACCATCCGACTTCTGTCTCAAATAGGACGAGCCTCCAGGGTGGGAGGATTCGTGGAGGCTTTCAAAAGCCACCGTTAGAGCCGAAGACTGTACGTGGTTTGAGCTCATGTTCGAAACGGTGAAGCTAAATGATGTGCTGCTGCCCGGGTGGAACAAGTCCTGGCTGATCTCCGCAGCTGTCCGGGAGGAAGAAGAAGATCATGAAAAGATCTGGAGTTCCTGTTGGCCTTTCAGGCTGCAGCTAAGGTGGGTTGTCGTTACGCATCGTATGCAAAGCTGACGTCCGCACATTTAGGTTGTGAAATCAAGTCGCTCCGCGCTTCTGTCCGTACTTAAGCCAGCAGAGAGCGAACGCTGCCAGATCTATTTCTGCCTGAATTCTATGCGCCCACCGAATTCCTTATGGTCCATGTCGACAGTTTGCCCTCTCCGCAGCATTGTAAATTTGTAACATTTGAGGATGGCAAAAATAAACTCAGATCGTAACGTTATCTTACCCTATCCGCTGTTCCTTGCTGGACTCCACACTCATCTTTATGACAGAACGACAGACTAACAGGGCGACATCACTTGCTCTTTTTAAAGTATGAAACCACGTCGTGCTAAGTTACAGGATATTGTGTCCCCCAGGTGGCGGAAGTCTTCACTCCAATCCCATCAAAGGCACAGCAACTTGATGACAAGGAGACGGAAGATTCTCAACTCCGTCCTCACGTCAGAATTTAATGACGCGAATGTCGATACCACCGAGTGGCGGGATTCTTGGAGGACTCTGAAAAGATGGAACCCACCAGAAGAGGATGACCCGGACAATGACACGGAGGTTTCGGAATTACTTACGGACACGGAAGAAGAGGATGAAGGGGTGGACAATGATGACGAGAGCGACGGATCAGACGAGGAGGCAACGCGGGATGAAGCCAGCGAAGATGATAAAGAGGAGGATGAAGGCGTGGATGAGGAAGAGGAAGCGGAGGACACCGAGCTTGAATACAACGAAGAGGACATCAACCGAAAGACAGAAACAACCAACGGGGCAAATTTTGAAATTGAGCCGACGTGTGAGGAGGACGAAGACGATCCAGAAAATGAAGATGAGGAAAATCAGGAATTGGATGAGGATGACGAAGAGCTCGAAGAAGACGTCGAAACGCGCGAGACGAAACTGCAGAATCATCACATTGACGTTCACAATCAGGAGGAGGACGAGGAGGATGAAGATGGAGACAGCGGGGTGACCGACGATGAAAAGGAGGAGAAAGTGAACCAACGGCGTCGTGACAACGTGGACGCGAGGGAAGAAAAGGAGGAGCGAGGAAATGCAGTCCAGGAAGCGCAAGCGTACAGCAACATCTCACTGCAGCTCAAAGAGATCTTCAGAATGATTACAAACAAAAGGGAGAAAGACGAGGAGGAAACGGATGAAGGGAAAGACCGAGCATCGACGCAAACGCGGGACGTGCCAAAGAGGCGAGGTGGGACCGACCAGGGAGATGGAGACGAGGCGGCTTACCTTCGGGAGGAGGAGGAAGGACAAGCGGAAGGGGAAGACGAGATCGAGGAGGAGGACGAAGAGACTGAGGAGGAGGTTGAGGAGAAAGATTTCACAAGAGATATCGAAGACGCTGATGACGCTGAGGAGGAATCTCTCGGCGAAGACCAAAGAGCGAAGGAGGTCACGGTGAAGACGCACGAAGACGCAGCACTTAAGAAGGAAGACAACGCCAACGAAGAGCAGGAAAACAAGTCCGGGAAGTCAATCCAATGCAAAGCAAAGGTGCCGCTTCACCTGCAGTTCCACAAAGCCGACGCCGCCTTGTCCTCGTGGACGCGGTCCTGGATGGTGGCGGTGGCTCACAGGAGAAGCGACGGAGAGGATGAAGCCAACCGCGCCGATGGAGGTCAAGAGGAGCTGAAGGCGTGGCGGGAATCTTGGAGGATCTGTTACCGGAGAAAGCCGCGCCGGGATGAAGTGGCGTCTTTCTCCGCAGAGCACCGGCGAGTCAAAGGACTCGTGGACGAAGACGACGGCCCGCTCAAGACAAAATGGACTCTCAGCTGGAAGATGACCAAGAAACGTGAGGACGTGAAATTATCAGCATGAAAGGAGGCTGCAGAAGCAGCTCGAATATGGCGTCTTACATCGAAATGGAAGGAAAAAAAAAAAAAAAGAATGAACTGACTGATCTGATCATCATCTCGGCTGCTTTAATACTGTACGTGTAGATCAGGGCTTTTTTTTTGTTTGAAGGTCGCATGCAGAAAAACGTAAGGGTGAAAAGGCCACTTTGAAATTCTTCAAGTTTGTAAAACGCGCTTAAGTCGGTCGAGAAAGCAATGAAAGTGGAACCTCGTTCCGACATACCTCGAGGGAAGGAGGATATCTCGATCGTTTCGATCACGTGAGCCTCGTGAGTTTGATTCCACCCATCATACCTCTCATTGTCGTCAGGCTGCGGTTCTTCATGAGTGCTGTTTTCATATTTCGCAAAACGTATCATAGCAGAGGCATTTTTAAAACGTGTGGGGGGGAATATGACAAAGGAAGAGAAGATGAAACGAATACGCGCATCATCAGACTTGTACATTTGTAAAATAACGTCTGAATGCACTCACGCCAGATTTGTAAATGTGTACAGGGATGACAAAATATTCAATGAGGAATGTCTGGTTGGATTTGTAAATAAAACGATGGAAATGATCAAAATATGTCCTGTCACTGAATTACCCGTCATGGTGTCCCATCGTCATGAATCGCACGCAACCTGCTCTCAGCCTCGCCGCCCTCCTTTTACCATCTTGCTCGCTGATTGGTTCGCCCTCACCTGTTTCTCTTCTCGCGACATGTTCCAATTCCCAGAATAGTTTGTGACGAACACAAAACAGAAGATACATGTTGCAGGGACATTTTCTGCCCACCAGATGGCAGCATGCATTCGGTGCAGCAACTCACACGTGACTGGCACGCCCCCGCGTGGAAGTAAAAACCACACCACTGCTGGGAGAATGTGCTGCCGATTGACACCCACCCCTTGTCTTGACAATTTGAACAATATAGGATAAAGTTGAATGAAATTTAATATGAATTCATGCTTTATGCAAAATAGATAAACGCCCCCAAATCACTTGTGACACACAGATTATTTGACTGCAATGAACACAATCGCCACTGGAGGACGCCAGAAGGACTGTGACGCAGGTTGGCGCGTTTATTGGCTCCCCAAAAAATCGGATCCTGTACCAGAACACTTGGAATAATAAAATCCGGGGAAAAAAAGGAGTTTACTTATAAAGATGGCAATGTTCAGTTTTGACTAAAAATGTCTGAAATGTAATTTAATAACAATTTCGTTTTTCTGGCAATAAACCTATTGATCAATTTATTCCCGAAAGGTCGCAAAGTGAAAGCACTTTATATCACTTAGATTAGAATATTTCGAAACAGAAGCACTAAATGAAAATAAAGAGGGTCAACGTGGTCAATAATATGATCTGTATTATTCTGCTATTGTTTTGGATCCCATTAGATTGCGTCGGTGTACGACATAAACAATAAAGTTGATACTTTGTTCGATTTAATATTGCAACTAAATGGTACATTTTTATTAGTGGGTGAATTTGATATGTTCAATATATGCTACTGATTATTCATATCCTAATTATTCGTCTCTCTCTCTCTCTATCTCGCTCTCTATCTCGCTCTCTCTCTCGCTCTCTCTCTCGCTCTCTCTCTCTCTCTCTCTCTCTCTCTCTCTCTCTCTCTCTCGGTACGTATGCGCGCGCTCGGCTTCATCTTGTGTTTTTGACTTTTACAATTAGCTCATTTGATAAATTCTGACCACCATTTCCGGGAATTATTCTCTGTATTTCATAGCTACAACCATATATTTAATTCACGTCTCGAGTTGAATTAGTGCGCGCATGAAAATTTGCTGTGATTGAAGTGTGTTTTTTTTTTTTCCGGGTATTCCCATTAAACGTTGATTTGTCCGACCGCCATTAAGATTAATGACTACCAATACAAACGTGGCAGTGAGAAAAAGCAGAACAAAAACGTCAGCGCGTGAGTCACTTGATGGTCGGAGAGCGAGGAGTTCGTTGGTGCGTTTGCGCGCGCGCGCGTCGATGCGCGCGTGCCGACTGACTCACTCTGTCTGCTCTCAGATGCTTCGACATCGCTCTGCCTTCTTCTGTGTGAGTATCCACGATTTTTATCCTCCATATCCACAAGCCGACCTGCTGTTTTGCATGCGTGAGTTTCAGAGTAGACGTCGTTGGTTGATCTGGACGAGGATCAGGCATGCTCGGATAGGGGGGAAAAAATGCTGATTGTTTAAGTTGATGGCAGGAGGGAAAACTTGACCAGCTCTGGCATGTGTTTATTTCTCCGGACTTAGGCTCCGATGCGGATGGGACACGACTTGCGTACCCGTTTTTTTTTTGTTTTTTTTTTGTGGGTGGGTGACCTTCTGTGCAGTGATCTGGAAGCAGAAAGGCGATTCATGAGTCCAAGTGTAGGTTAAGTGGACGTTGCAGTCAAAAGTAACCTAATCTCGTCAGATTAAAATTAGGGTGATCATCCTACTAAATGATGCAATACTTTCTGAAGTGTCATCAAAGTTTTGATATTAAAACCATTTTTGACTTTTATAAGGCTTTTGTCGTTCATAATTATGACAAGACATCATCAGAACTACACCATTAAAAAAAAAAAAAAAAAAAGCAAAAGAAAGCCATGGAAAACAGTGTGCTGTCTTTAAATTGGACAGGCAAAGGTTTTAGCAGTTCAAAGTGAGATAGAGTTGATGCCTAAAAGGCAATCAGCATTGCAATCGCTGTTTTGGGATTGTAGCTGGTGAGTCTTGCTGGTGTCATCAGATAATTGAAGCCATGACTAACGGTAGTTGCCGGGGCAAACTCTTATCACATTTTTTTTTTTTTTTTGGGGTGACTTGAGCATACAGTGACCAAGTGGAGTGAAGTCGTGTGTGCCTCACAATCATGAGGCTCAGTGTCCGAATGTTAGCTTTGGTCTCTGTGAGGAAGTTGGCAGGTTCTCCTGGTGCTTGAAGAGTTGCTTTTCTCTGGGCTTCCTCCCACTACCCCAAAATAACGTCCACGGTTAGTCGACTGGAAAAAAAGAAAAAAAAAAAGTTGATCTCAGACGACGAGCTCGCTTGTTTTTTTGCGCGCGCGCCGTGTCACAGCACCCCGAGTCCTCGAGACTGACAGGTGATTGGATAAATGATCATTTCCTCCTCCCAAATGAGCCACTCAATGTGACTGAAATGCCCCGAGCTATTCTGTTGACCAAAATCGGGGGTCTGTGAGAATTCCAGACAGCTGCCCCCCCCCCCCTGCACCCCCTCCCTTCCTTCATCGGTCCCTAATAGCGTCTGGGCCCTGGTGCATCGCAGCCGTTGCACCGTTACGAGAGTGGTTTGGGCTAGTTTGCGTATTTCAGACCACGCTGGATTAGCATAGTAGCCGCCTAGCGCACATATGGACAGACAAAAAACGCAAAAGTGCTCAGCTTATTTCTCCTTTTGTCGAGATGATTGTTTTTCTGTTGGGAACACGATCTAAATATTCCCATTGGCCCAGGATCAAAGAAAGAAAAAGTCCTGTCATCTGTGCGTATCAACTTCAAGAGTTGCACTACGGGGTTAGGTGTTGCTGCTTTTCTTGACATCTATTGCATTTTCATGACAAGATTTGTGTTTGTTGCACCAGGCGTCAACTGGCCGGTAGCAGTACGGCGATCAACCGGCACACGATATGACAGCATGCTCTCACAGCAGTAGAAATTGACCAAGGGGTCCTGTGGCAGGCCCCCCCCCCCCCCCCCCCCCCCGGGAGTTTTTGTAGGTAATGTATGAATTGACGGGCTTTTTTTTCATTGTGGATTTGGTGTATCGGTGTCAGGTCACCCAGCAAGCCACAACTCGTAAAGAAGGATTTGCTTGATTATGCTGTCCTAATTCCCAAAGTCCCAAATGGTGTCCTTTTTTTTGTAAAGTGAGCGTGGAGTTGTTATTGTACACCCCGAAACTGGTTGCCAGCCAATCACGGGGCACACTGAAGCAGGCTCTCCCCCAGTGAAATTGTCTATCCATAAATTTAGATCGCTGCTTCAACCTAAATTCACTCATATGTCTTTCACAAGGCTCCTCAGTGCGTCACTAGTACTCACCTACAGGGTGGTGCTCTTCCCTCCGAGTCTGGAGTTCAGTTTTGAGTCTTGTCCTTGTCTCCGGTCCCCCTGCGTTGCAGCGGCCACCTTATCGATCTCTGTTCCGACTCTAAAAGAAAAAAAAAAACAGTTTGGTGTCAGTCATAGATGAGCGAGAGACTTGACCTCAATACAGAGCGCAGTTTGAGGTCCTCCCTCACTGAAAACGTCAGTGACGTCTGTCCACACAAATGTAGAGGGATGAAAAATTCCCGCATATTTGGATTTATTGTCGTGTATCCTTTTTAACCCGTTACCTTTTTGCTCTCTGTCTCGTTTGTACTTGCGGACCAGCTCGTTCCCCTGCCGGGACTCGGATTCGACATTCTCTTTGTGGCCCCTCGGTCTTGTTCTTCATCCTCCGCCCACTGACGTCAGAGGAACATTTCAATCTCTCGTGTTATTGAGGTTAATCTGATTATGAAGATTACCTCCAAGAAAATTCCTCATCAATGACAGCCAAGATGGAGACTCCTTTCTACCATGACGACTCCCCCGCCATCCACAGCTTCAGCCAGTTTCCGGAATACGAGCGTTACGCCGGGAACAAGATGCTGATGTGTAAGAAGGCCATGTCGGTGTCGGTGGCGAGCCATCATTTCACCGGCAGCGGCGTGGCGGGAGCAAGAGGTACCAACCCCAACAACCTCGGACTCGCCAACAGCGGCTCCCTGGCGACGCCGTCGGCATCTTCGGCCGATATGAACATGCTGAAGCTGGCCTCCCCTGACCTGGAGCATCTGATCATCCAGTCCAACCAGGGATTGGTCACCAGCGGCCCCCTGTCCAACCCGGCCAACCCGTTCATCTATCGGAACCAGGCCACCAACGAGCAAGAAGGCTTCGCCGACGGCTTCGTCAAAGCGCTCGCCGACCTTCACAAGCAGAACCAGCTGGTGGGAGGCCACATGTCGCCATCCTCCTCCTCCAACGTCTCCCTACAAGCATCCTACCAGAGGAACTTGATGTCCACGAGCGACGTGCCCATCTACACCAACCTCGGCAGCTACAACCAGGGACAGCTGGCGTATTCCGCAGCGCCGATGACGTACGGTGGTAGCTCCGGTCACAATGCAGTGGGCGGAGCCCCTCAGCCGCACACCAGAGGTCTGGATGCCCCTCAGACTGTTCCCGAAGTCCCCCACCTACCCGGAGACCCGACGTCCCCTCCTTCCCTCTCCCCCATCGACCTGGAGACGCAAGAGAGGATCAAAGCCGAGCGCAAGAAGCTGCGCAACCGCATCGCCGCCTCCAAATGCCGCAAGCGCAAACTGGAGCGAATCTCGCGACTGGAGGAGAAGGTGAAGATCCTGAAGAGTCAGAACTCGGACCTGGCCTCCACCGCTTCCATGCTGCGGGAGCAGGTCTCTCAGCTCAAACAGAAGGTCATGAGTCACGTCACCAACGGCTGCCAGATTGCCGTCGGCTCTCCCGGCAAATCGGGAGGGAGGGGCTGCGGCGCCGCCAGCGAGGACTCCAGCTGCTGAGGGAAGAGGAGGAACGTCGGCGGTACGGGGAACGGAGATAAACCAAACGCTTTTGAAAACGTCACTGGCGCTTGGCGCCGTCCAAAAAGGGGAGCCTGCTGAAAGGGGCTCGGGGGTCAGTTAAGGCCCAGTGGAAACTAAGAGGTGGTCCGATGACATTCGAACTGAGACACTCATCAAACACCGCTGAGCGTGAAAAGCTTCTTCAGAGCTCACGCCGGGTTGCCGGCCGCGAAGAACGTTCAATGGGACGCTTTGCCTTTCTCTGCCGTTTGATATGATTTCAAGAGACTCTTCTGCAGGATTTGACACAACTTTGAAACACTTTCAACAGCTGAACTATTATTTATTATTATTATTATTATTATTTTGTAATTATGATCGCATCTCATCACGCTTTAAGTGTAACTTTTTTCCCACGTTAAATTGACTTTAAAAAAAAAAAATCTTTGGAACCGTTTTCGAATAATTCAATCAACCAGCGTGAGGACGTACGTACGTGTAAGTATGAACACTTCATTCAAATCAGTGCTGTAATTACTGAGCAACTTGCTCAAACGCTTTTTTCATGAGACCGTTGCTGTACTTCTGAATTTATCATTTAAAAACGTGGACTGAAAAAGACATTTACGTTGACCAATTTGTTGATGGGATTCGCTATTCTGTTTCGTTACCGTGTTTGGTTTGTGTGTGTGTGTGTTTTATGTTTATTTTTTTCACATTACATGTATACAAACCGACTCTGGTTGAAAGTCCAATTTTCAAATGTACATTTTGGGATGATTTACGTGTTTGCTGCTCAAAGTTGAAAACGTTTTCTTGCCACTCGATGTCAAAAATAAAGTCTGACGATCCGTCGCCACTTTTTATCTTTTGGTCTGGTGGGGGACGTTCCTGGCGAGATGGACCTGCTTTCAATATCACTCCAATTTTGGTTTTGAAACAAATAGGACCAATGTTGGACTTGTTCATTCACGATCTTTCAAATACATCCATACATATCTTGGTAAATTCAGTAACTTGGTCCAAAAATTGTTGGAAACAACAACTCAAATCAGCCATGGAATATGGACGTCAGTCATTTGATTGCGTTTGGCGGTGACGGGGGTGCCATGAGAAATTGCGGCCCACGCGGCCATTAGAAAGCCTGATGGTGCATGAAGAGCTTCGTCGTCACCCCGCGTTGCTATGATGCGTTTGCTCGAGGAGCCGCCCGCCTGCCAGCTCATCATCGAGAAGGTGAGCGGAGTGGTCCGAGATGGCTCCCCGCTTTGTTGTTTGTCCTCCTCTTAGCCAGAGTCTACAAGTTGTCCGGCTCTGATTCATTCAGAGGGGGCGATGGTGGGGGGGCTTCGTCACTTTAGCCTGCTCGTGTGTTTTGAAGACTCGAAATCAAGGGGCGTCCAAACTACGGGGGCCATTTTGTGGCCCGCCGTCCATTTTTCAGTGGCCTGTGACTGCTTGTGGGCGTGGCTATAGCAGGTATGGACTATATATAGCTTCCGAATCACACCTATTGTTCATCGGAATTGATTGATGAAGCGGTGGCAAAAATCCTTCATTTGAAAATGCCAATGCCATGTTGGCAGCATGTGCCTTGTCGTGTGTCTGTGTCACGCGCAGCGGCCCAAATGCACAACAAAAAGGCAGGGAAGGGATTACAAGTTATTTATATAAGACTCCAGCTTGGAGGTGGCGTTGCCAGAGGGGGGGGCGGGAGGGGGCGGGAGGGGAAGACTCAGTTGGCGGAGGGGAACCGGTTGGAATGACAACTCTTCTGAAAAGGGAATTTTTCAGATAACGGGAGACCGGGTTGATCGGGCCGGCCAATTTGTGATTTGAATAAATTTCCAATTTTGCTTCCAACGAACACCTTTGCGACGCCAACTTCATTATAAGGACCTTAATTTTCCCATGAAACGGTTCCCGCAACGCTGGTCACTCCACTGTAACATTTCGAGCTCCGCCGCTGAAAATGAGTGTCGGGCGTAAGAGTGGGTGCCGCTTTTGAAATCATTTCTCCATTCCATTTTCGAGTGAAAACGTCCGCTGGAGTTTTCCTGCGATGTGTTAATGACATCCTTCCTGATGATTAGCTATGAGTCAGCGTGACTCAAAAATGAAAGCGCATTTCACCGGCTATTGACGTGCTTCTGCCTCTGCTGCTGCTGATGATGATGCTGATGATGATGACAGCTGTTGCCGAGTGTCAAGCATCCCTCCAAAGCGAGTTCCCGCTTATCACTGGATCGTGCCGGACCACAAAACTGTCGTTATTGAAACACCGTGTCAATGAACGAGAGTCAGAAAATGAGCAGACTATTTCCCGAGGAAGCCCCTCCTTCCCCGTCCATCAGTGGGCACAGCAAAATGTTGCTTTGCCGTTGTATGCTGGCAGGTGGCAAGTGACGCCATCAGGGTTCGAAATGAACTCGGACTGGCCTCTGGTGGTTTTCAGCACCGTCGGCTGGAGTTCTCCATCCCATCGTGGGAACGGATTCTACGTCTGCGCGGTGCTCCTGAATTGCTGATGTCCTTGCTCGAGTATCTAGATGCCACCTCGCAGCGTCCTCCACTCCGCTCGGATTGTTCCAGCTCTCTCGCGGTCACGCTTCTTGTCCCTTGTTTTGATTTCTTTTGTGACTTTCAAGTGACTTGCGTGACCAGAGTGTGTCTTTTTCTCTTTGGAACAAGGGGACCGACAATGGGGCTCGGATGTGTATGCAGGCAACTTGAAGTCCGGAGCAAAGTTGTTTCTCCAATCTACAGCCATCTCCAAAACATGGGAAACCAGCCAAGAATTTCTGTGTCCAACAGTTCGATTGAGATTGTTTTGCACTTTTTCCATATTCTGCTCCAGATGGAGTGACCCACTTACTGAGAGAGAGAGAGAGAGAGAGAGAGAGGCTATGTGCCATTTCTGGTGACTAATACCCCCTCCACCCACACCTCAACACACACACACACACACACACACACACACACACACAGACAGACGCCAGTGCGTAAGCTCAAACAAGCAAACACCAAACTTTGGGGATTTTGTCCGTACAAATAATTGCATTTTAAAATTAATATGTGTTGACAGTGAACATGTGTTGCATGTTAATATGTCCGCAGTTGAAAAGCTTTCAGTTCGACGCTCACTAATTTTTGTTGTCACATCGAACAGCACGAGCCATTTTTAACGGAGAGCTTCCACAGAGATAGATCGTTGTTCAAAAGGTATCAGTGGGGAGAGGGCCGAAAACAATTTCCAGCTCATTAAATATGGATCGTGGACCAACGTGAAGACAGTCATCATCAAGCGGAGAAAATATTACGATGACGACGACGCCTCCAAGAACTGGACGTCCCTCCAAAATTGATTTCAAGACAAGAATAAAACAGCCAAGCGGGAACAGCAATATGAAAAAATTTTGGCCACAAAAGAATAAAACAGCCAAGCGGGAACAGCAATATGAAAGTAGCTGCAGAAAATTTTGGCCACAAAGAGCTACACACACACACACACACACACACACACACACACACACACACACACACACACACACACACACACACACACACACACACACACACACACACACACATTATTTGCCAATCTATTGAACTGTGAACAGAATCCCATCACAACTTTGGGAGCGAAGCTATTTGCCAATCTATTGAACTGTGAGCAGAATCCCATAACAACAAGCAAAGGGAGCATTATGTAAATGAGATTAATTTCAGGCCCTGATTTGCTGCTGACCTCAGGTCTCCGTACTCCCCGCACTCTTCCCGAGAGGGAACTCGACATCTTCCTTCAGTCGATCTTTCTGCCACATTAAATATTCATGAGACCTACCTGAGGCGTCACCGAGCGCCCCCCAACCACTGCCACTGCCCAAAGCTGTGATGTCACGCCGAGGTGATAGCGGTTATCTTGATGGGAGCGCGTCTCTAGGGGGAAACGATACGACATGGTGCACGTCAGCGAGGATAGACTCGAGTTGTCTGACAGCCGCCGACCGGCAGCAGAGTCACATTCACCTCCTTTGTCCAAAGATGAGAGCGTCTCCATCGGTCTCTCGGAACTTCCGGCGCGCTTGCATGAGGACCGAGTCGAGTTGGACATGGACAGCTCAGCGCCAAATACTGCAAAAGGAAATTGGAGACAAGATGTGACACGAGTGGCAAAAATGACCAAAGAAATTGAAGGCGGAAAGTGAGTGCTCATACATCGGGGTCTTAATTGCACTCTTTCAAAATTCCACTGAAGTGCGACATTATACGGACGAAAATATGAGCGCGGCATGCCAGCGCTCCTTCTTTGAAGATGGAACGGGGTCCACTCCAAATAAGAATTGAAAACTCACACGAGTGCTCACAAAAAAAGGAACACACATGCTATCATGAAGGTCCAAGTTTAGCGACACTCAATTTCCACTGTGCTCAAAGAGCCGTCGGCGGCATGACGGATGAGCTCGTGAAACCCGGTTGACTTTTTATCTTCGATCTTCGATGCCTCACTCGTGGAGGTTTATTGGCTTACTATAAGACAGACGACATATTGCACAACCATACCCGTGCTATGCGCGCACACAGAATAAACTGTTTTCAGCTGTGTTTGGGTTTGATGTTGCTACGGTGAAGCAAAAGCAAAAAAAAAAAAAAAAATGTCACAAGGATATGAAACACAGCTGAATATCTTCACAAGATGAAATAATTAGTCACTCAAACAAGATTTATTTTTATTTCCACATGGCCACGTTTTAATGCCATCCTATATTTTGGCCTATCAAACGGATTTACCATATGCTAACTGTGGAGAGCGTTATATTTCCCTCACCACTCAATAATAATAAATAGATTACGCGGACACCACTACGGTTTTGCTTTAAAACAACACCGTCCCAAAGAAAAAAAAAAACATGACTGAAGCTGAAACGGCTTGACGGTCAGAAGCAGTGATGAAGGTGCTCAGGGATGGAGGAATGTTATACTGGCGTGGTACTTGTTGAAGAGTGACTCAGATGCTCCGCCCACACACGTACTGAGTCATCAGAAACGGCCAAGCACTCCGAGTGTGTGTGTGTGTGTGTGTACCTGATTTAAATGTCAGGAAAGTGAGACTCTGACTCAGTGTTTTTTCTTCTTCTGATTGGATGATTGTAATTTTGCGAGGCTCGAGCATAGACCCGCATTCTAGTCGTATTTAGCCCAATCGTGAACAAACGTATGTTTGATGCCCATCGTGGTTCAAAGTGTTTTCGTTGAAAAACAACGATCTCGTGCGCACAAAGTAGTTCCTCGTGCGTACATAATAGTTACAGTGTGTTCACAAAGTCTTTTTTTTTTTCTTTCCCCCCCCATCATGTCATGTCTGGTGCTCCGTAATTTTCCAATACATCACCTCAAGAAGTCCAAACCTTCTCCAGGACAATGTATGACT